GCGTGACCATTCGGTTCACTATACGCGCGAACGTCCTGTTTACGCGTTGATTCGCTACTGCTGACGTCATCACGCACGTCCTTCTATATGAGGTATTGCACTACTAGTACAGTCTAAGTGTTACATCAAGAATGCTCAAGTAAACTCTGTTGAGTATACTTCAACATAGCCTGAATATGAGTAGACACGCCGTGAGAGACACGCCGCCTGCACAGACACAACCACAGGTCGGCACTTAGCCATGTTTGAGTGTGACCCAATGTCAGGTCTCTTTACACTGCATAATGAGTCCGCGCCGACAGTTGCGTATGCCGCGGTTGCCGCGTCCTGCTCCTGTCGCTCCATAGCCCACCCAACCCTTCTGTGGCTCCATTGTTTAGGTCACCCTGCACTCCCATGTCTTAGGCACATGTCCCAGTACGGTCTAGTCACTGGTCTCCCTCCGTCGTTTCCTGCCCTGCCTACATCGGAAGCGCCATTGTGCACGTCTTGTGTCGAGGGTCAGCAGCACGCCGCCCCTCACTCCTCCTCATTTCCTCCTACCACAGCACCGCTACAGCCACTGCACATGGACGTCTGGGGCCCTGCCCCGGTCCATGGTCTTAGCTGGGAGCGCTACTTCCTAGTCGTTGTTGACGACTTCTCACGGTTCACCACAATGTTCCCGCTGGAGCGGAAGGCCGACGTGCCTACCGTTCTCCTCCCGTGGCTTCTTGCTATTCGTACCCACCACCGTTTGCCTGTAGGTCGCCTACACTCTGACTGAGGTGGCGAGTTCGCCTCTGGAATTCTATGACGTTTCTGCTGTGCGCAGGGCATCCGCCAGGTGTACACACTACCGGACTCCCCACAGCAGAATGGGGTCGTTGAGTGATGCATCGGCCTGATCATGGAGGTGGCTCGCACCCTATTTTTTGTGGCCGTTCGTTGTGCGCTACGCTGCTCACCAACTTAACCTGTGACCGCGCTCCCACCGACCACAGGTTTCGCCGACCCTCCTCTGGACCGGGTGTCCTGGTGACGCGTCTACGTTCCACGTCTGGGGCAGCCTTGCTCACGTCCGCAACACTGCCACGGACAAGCTCTCAACCCGCACCCTTCCTTGTGTCTTCCTGGATTCTACCACCCATCACACCACCGCTTTTACCACTCTCGTGACGTTACCTTTGATGAGATGCTCCCCTACTACCGTCGCTTCCCGCACCGCAGCGCTCTTGTGCCTCCTCCTCCTCTCTTCCTTGTCCCTGCCCCACCTGCCGCTCCCCTCCCGCCCCCTGTCTGGTGTCTCCCACGCCACTCAGCTCCCCTCGGTTGCGCCTTTGGGGGAGTCGGTTGACTCTGGGGGCCCAGCTGCTAGGGGCGCGCTTACTGTCCCTGTGGCGCCTCCCCCAGCCTTGGTACCCCAGGCACCTCATTCGACTCTGGGGGCCCAGCTGCTAGGGGCACGCCTACTGTCCCTGTGGCGCCTCCCCCAGCCTCAGTACCCCAGGCACCTCAGTCGCCTCCTCCCTTGCCTCAGCAGCAGCAGCCGTCGCCGCAGCAGACTCAGCGGCCGCAGCAGCAGCAGCAACAGGGAGCAGTGGGCTTTGGGGGTGCCGGTTCTGGGGGTGCTGGTGTTGGTGGAGTTGGTATTGGGGGTGACCTGCACCGTGACGAGACCTACAAATCCTAGCGCGATTCTAATAGTGCAAGGATGCACTGTCGACCGTGCTATGTTACCCTAATTTTCGTGGCAGATACGCTAGTTTTCACCACTCTGCTCGTAATTTTTACCTACAACGGTACGATGAAGACGATCCATGATAAGACGAGACCAATCGACTTATGGCATCTTTGGCCACACCTCAGCATGGCTAGTCTTAGAGATAACATTCAACATGAAATCGTGCACAGTACTCTTGCATACGTTCAAATACTTCGCGATTTTCCTAGTGCTCACCCCCTTATGCAAAAGCGTGGGTCCAGGAAGAGTGCGAGAAGATCCCTGTAAAGGTTTGCACTAACCTCGTAGATAACATGCCTAGGAGGGTGTAGGTGGTGATCAAGGCCATGTGTCGGTTGACTAGGTACTAGTTTTGCTAGTAACTAGTTTGCTGCCTGTCCTCGGTACAAATTGTCCGGATGTGCTGTTATTAAATGTTGTCGTGTTGAAGGACCATGAAATATACTACTCTGGTTTTAGGAGATTTGAGTGAGTTCTCTAACTTCTCCTCTCTACGTGTATGGCCACCATGAATTAAGGCTTAATGTTTATAGCGTACAACTCGTCAAAATGTAAAAATATGCTAAACATGTGGACAATTTTTCCTGCCACTGTATCTGCTACTACCTGTCCTCCGTCCGTCGGGGGTGCACCTGCCCTTGGTAGTGACGTGCTAGAGGACAGGCAGTACGAGTTGGCCTACCTTGCTGCCGCTGTTCCCCATCTCTGCTCCATGCTTGTATCCTCAAAGGGCGATCCAGACGCTCTCGACATCCCTATTCTGCGCTCTTACGCTGAGGCGGTGTCCGGGCCCTGGGCAGCCCTGTGGATACAAGCCATGGAGGCTGAGATGGCATCCTACAGATCCACAGGCACTTACGTCGACGCAGTTCCCCCGCCTTAGGCAAACGTAGTCGATGGCATGTGGATCTATACGGTGAAGCGCGCACCTGGAGAGACGCCGAAGTTCAAGGCGCGTTACATGGCTAAAGGCTTCAGTCAGCATGAGGGTGTGGGCTTCTTCCAGACCTTCTCCCCGACCCCGAAGATGACTACACTTCGGGTCCTTCTTCACGTAGCCGCGCAGCGTGACTACGAGCTTCACTCACTCAACTTCTCCACAAGGTTCCTACAGGGTAGTCTGCACGAGCAGATCTACCTCCGGCGCCCTCTAGGCTTCTCTGGGTCCTTCCAACATGGGATCGAATGGAGCCTGCGCCATCCTATCTACGACCTTCGTCAGGCACCCCGTGAGTGGCACGACATGCTTCGCACCACTCTTGCTGAGCTGCAGATCTTTTCGTCCTCTGCTGACCCCTCTCTCTTTGTTCGCATGGACCAAACACCGTTATACATTCTAGTGTGCGTAGACGATCTTATCTTTGCTACTCCGGACAGAGACGCACTCGCCTCAATGAAGGCCGAGTTACTTAGGAGACACATCTGTACAGACTTGGGGGATCTGAGGTGCTATCTGGGCTTGGAGATCTCTCGTGACCATGTTTCTCGCACGATCACACTCTCCCAGTCCCATACGGTGCAGCAGATCCTCCAGGGGTTCAGTCTCCAGTTCTCCTCAGCACTGCCCACCCTCTGCCTGTGGATTACAAGCTCTCTGTTCCTGTTCCGGCTGAGCCGGTCGAGGCTAATGGTCCATACGCAGAGCTGGTGGGGTGTCTCATATACCTGATGACCTACACTCGACCAGATCTAGTGTACCCTCTCAGTCTCTTGGCTCGCTTTGTTGCGACAGGCAGGCACCGAACAAACTACTGGTCAGCTGCCAAGAGAGTACTGCGGTATCTGGCGAGTACATCAGGACTGGGGCTTGTGCTAGGAGGACGGAAGCCAGTGGTGCTCACTGGACACACAGACGCGTCGTGGGCTGACGACGTGGAGATGCTCACGTCGTCTCAGGGCTACTGTTTTAGTCTTGGTGCTCGTGCAGTCTCTTGGAGGTCCACCAGGTCGTCGTCTGTAGCTCAGTTCAGTTGTGAGGCAGAGATCTACGCTGAGGCTATGGCCGCTCAGGAGCTCCGCTGGCTGACGTTCTTGCTCACTGACTTAGGTGAGCAGCCTAGGTCTGCCCCGGTCCTGTTTGCTGACAACAGGGCCATGATCCTTCTGTTTCATGAGGCTCGACTTGAGGGCAGGGCGAAGCACATCCAGCTGCGGTACTTCCTGCTGCGTGAGTTGCAGCAGCGCAGCCAGGCTCGAGTGGTACAGTTGGCCTCAGAGGCCAACACCGCTGATATCTTCACCAAGGCACTTGCGCCTCGTGACCATCAGCGGTTCTGTACTCAGCTTGGTCTCGTCTCCGTAGCAGCACCACTCCTTATATCTCGAGTCATACTATACCTGCTTGTACTAGTTGTTTTATACCTGCTTGTCTTGCTACACTTGTTGACTGGCCTTGTGGCCTCTTGTCTCAATGGTCTGACTAGTAGTGCTGCCCTGGTGTACTCTGCCTTTTTATGAACTGCCAATATCTAGGCTACGGGGTGTGTCAACAAATATATTTATGTAGCTTAGCTAGGTCATATTTGTTTATAGCCAAGCTAGTTTAGTTCTTAGTGAGTACAGCCCTTATTTTGTATCCCTCGACATTTTCCCTTAATCACAACGTTTCCCACTTTTCTAACAGATGTGTGTTAATAGTCTTTGACATGTACTAGCTTGGGCTTCTCCCCTACTATCGGTGCGCATTCCAATGCGTTGTCAGAACATGACATGTTTTAAAAAATCATTGAAGAACAGTATGATTTTTAGATGAGAGGTTTGATGTTGAGTTCCCTTTACCAACGCTAAAGATTAATGGTGTTCTAAGACACTTGGATTATATGACAAATGTAGCCATAATGCACAAACTAAATGTAATTTCTCTGGGACGTTCTTACAATCGAAGACGCACGAATTTCGTGACGTCGCTGAATACGCTGAAGGTCTTGACCACCACCAAAACCTTCCTGGTTGGGGCCGACGTGTTTGCGGGCAGCGAAAATTGACACGTGTTTGTTTAGGAGGCGTATCACTGGTTGTCATGTGGGGAAAACCTTTCCAAACCAGACCCCGAACTACGAAAACACGCAACACAAATCTCCCAAACCCAAAACAACCAACCTCCCGAGGCTTTCGATGCCGAAGCACAAATATTAGGTTCGGCAGGCACAAACGGCTGCTTTGGATCCCTCCCCTCCCCTCTTCCCCCCACTTTGCTTCCCTCCCTCGATTCCCGTTTCCCGCCACGCCACTCCCATAAGAGTCGCAGAAATCCCTCCCTCCCTCCTGATTACATCAGTTGGCAGTCCAGTCTTCTCCCTCTGTTTTCCTCTGCGTAGCATTCAATTTTCCGCCATCTGAATGAGCTGATTACCAGTAGTTTTCGCGTTTTCCACTCCCTTGCTCTACTTCTCGGCAGCTTTGTAGTGATAACTTTCCGACGGCCCCGCACTCGGTAAACGGATAGTTTCCGCTGATAGCTCGTTCGAGTTGATTTGTACACTCCTCTGATACTTCTAGCCCTTCCACTCACAGTATGTTCAAGATTTCTCTCTCTCGAAACTCTACCGATATACTCGTCGAGAAAGCGACGAAAGCGGAGCTCCTATCTCCTGATTGGTCCACCACCCTCCAGCTTTCCACATTACTCGAAAACGGCACGATTCATGGAAGCGACGTCATGCGATCGCTGCGACGTCGCCTTGCGACGCGCGACCCGCACGTGCATCTCCTATCGCTCGCCGTCGCGGAGTACGTCGTCGCGAGCGAGTCGCATGTCCTTAAAGACGTGGCGCGCGAAGGCGTGCTGGATAAGATGGAGCGCATGGCGATGAAAAAGAAGACGCCGGAGCGCGTGAGGGAGAACGTGGTGCGGCTCGTCGCGGCGTGGTCGACGATGGAGGAAACGCGATACCTGCACGATTTTGATGAAGCTCTTAGGGTGAGTTGTGGTTTCTCGGGACACGCAGAAGCTCAACTAACGCGTAGGGTTTCTTCGGTGCTTGAGAATGTGGTGAGGCTTGTCGCGGCGTGGGCGGTGATGGAGGAAACGCGATAACTGCACCCCGACGAGGCGCTTCGGGTGAGTTGTGGTTCCTCAAGCCGCGCAAAGTTGACGTATAGAAAAATCGGTCGCTGGAAACGTGATAATCGCTCGCGCATCATAAGAGGCGACTGGGTTATGTATCACTGACACACGGTCGGCCATACATAGCTGGAGGCTGAAAAGAAAGTAAGTCCTCAGGGATTTTCAAAACGTGGAATTGAACAACAACATTTAGGGTTTCATTGGACGCAGAAAACGGTCTGAGAGGTGAGATTTCAAAACCCACCATTGACCAACCAAAGCCCTCTACCCCCTCTCCTGATTCCCCCATTTCTCCTCCTTTCCCTAATTTCTCCTCCTTCCTCCCTTCTCTCCTTCCATTATCTCTTGCAGAAATTCAGGGAGCAAGGCATCAGAATCCCTTCCTCCCCCTCCCATCCACTTCTACTGCCACGCACCTCCTCTCAGCTCCAACCCAACCCATGTCACCATCCTAGTCTAAGCCTCTCAGACGACCCAATCTCATCTGCCAATCAACCACCAACCTTCCCTGCAACCTCAAGGCACCTCCAAACCACCGACCCACGTCCGGACGTCATCGCGATGCCTGCGGACTTTCTCGCCGGACCTCGCGACCAGGCTCGGCAGCGCATCCCACGGGTGCTGATCGTCTCGCAAGGACAGGAACAAGAAGGAGAAATCGGCTTTCCTGGTCTGGCTGATGGTGAGTTTCCGTGGTCTGAGGTGGAATTAAGCCATGCGAAAGAGGATTTTGCAAGGGCAAGGGATGCAGCTGGGGTTTTGGTGAGTGTGCTGGAATCGTGTGAAGCAGGCACTGTGACTGAAAAGGAGGAGGTTCTAAAGGGGGAGCTGGTTATGTCTGTTTTCGCTGAGTGCCGGGCGGCGAAGATACGAGTGCAGCAGCGGCTGCAGCAGGTGGGGGTGGCAAGTGAAGATCCGATTTTATTTGATGGGCTTGCCGCACTTGATGAGCTGGAAAAGGCTCTTGCCAGGCTGGCAGTTATAAGGGAGGAGGTGAAGCGGGCAAAGAAGAAAGGCAAGGCAGAGAGGAAGGAGAGAAGGGCGAGGAGGGAGAAGAGGCAGGAGTTGCGAAATGCAGGGGCAGGGGGGTTAAATGGGCTTGGGGATGGTTCTGGAAGGTCGGGGGGAGTAAGATTGGATAAGGAGGTTGTTGGGGTTTCTGAGGCGAATCGGAAGGCAGAGGAGAGGGGGGGGATTGAAGAGGTTGTAGAGGAGGCAGGGAGTGAGGAGAATGACACTAGTGAGAGCACCGACAGTAACGACGATTGCGAGCAGCCGAAGGGTTCTGGGTTTGGGGAACAGCAGCAAGAGGGGCTGAGGCAGGGAGGTCACTTTTCAGTTGATGATGGGAGCGTGGAGAGTGATGAGGAAGGGGTGCCGCTGGAGCGGAGGGGGGATCACAGGGCGCAGAAAAGGGATGGTGGGGAAGAGGAGGAGATAATTGAGAGAAATGCGGAAGAGAGAACTGGATTGGAAGAGGGGGGGAGTATTGAGGGGGGGAAAGAGGGGATGAGGAAAGAAGGGGGTGGAGGGGAAGACAGGGCAAGCGTTGGTGGAGAAGAGGAAAAGATGTCTGGTAGAAATGCGGAAGAGACGTTCGGAGGGGATGAGGGGGGTAGGATTGAAGGGGACGAGGAAGAGGAGATACGGAAAGAAGGTGGTGGAGGGGAAGACAGGGGTCCAGGAAAAGAGGCAGAGCCATAGGTGAGGCAAGAAGGGGACGAGGGGCCATGTGAAGAATCTCTGCATGGATCAGCAGAGGATGAGGTGTGTATGGCGAGGAAAGTGGAGGAAGTACAGTAGAGGTCGGGGTAGTTAGTTGATGGTGTGCTTGATAGTGCATATATGGGATGGGGGTGAGCTAAGGCAAGCAATTTGAGCTACATGGGACCATCTCTCTGTATTTTCTTGCACTCTTGTAAGCTCGTGGCTTCGAAAGCCCATTCATTTGTTGAAAGATGGAATTGTATGGAATAATAACTTCTGTCGCTCCATGCATGTAATTTTAGCTCCACGTGCATAAGCAAACATCTTCAGATAACCAACACGCTTGAAGTAGAGTGTGTGGCCTATTGTGCCTTCATTTATTTGAACCGCTGATGTTCACATTCCAAGTTTCTGTCTGGCAAAACTATATCAAATTTTAACATCCTACAAAAACGGATTTCTACAAGATGTATGCCCGGATACTTGTAAAGCGGGTAAAGCGGATAGTAGTTTCATACCTCTGGTTGTGACGGAGAACCTTGTACCGAAAGAGCTCACAGCTCCAGCTCTACGCGTTCTTCACTGGCGCAGTCGCACGCCTGGCCCGCCAGTGGGCATCCCGCCGCCTGATAAATGCTGCGCCAAATCCCTCCACCCCCTAGCCTGCTCACTGTAGCCATCCTCCCCTGCTGCGCGCAGTTTCCACCAAAGCATCCGCAAAAGCACCTCCCCATCTCCCAGCCACAAACTTCCAGTCAGGTCACATGTCATGTTCCCCACCCCTCTCTTCCCCCCCCCCTCTCCCCGCCCCTCTTCCCGTCCAGCACATCCCCGCATCCACCCATTCCGCACGTTGCCTGTCTCATCGCTTTTCGCCCCACCTCCCCCTCGTTCCCATTCCATCTTCCCCCTTCTCCGCTTCCCGTCTTCCCCCTTCATTCTAATCCTCCCCCCGCCCCCTCCCTCCCGTTCTGCGGGCCTTTGCGGGCTTCCGCGGCCCTCTGCCAAATTCTGCAGCGGGCTTTTGCGGGAACCCTTTCTTTCAGCTTCTCCCCTTCCTCCCGCCACAACCTCATCATCATGGAATCAGGACTGCTGAATCAGCAGGGACCTTCAAGCTGGCAGGCAGGGAATTCCAAGCCAAGCTTCACGCGTGCAAATTCCTTCCTCCCACACAGTATCGCTGTGTCGCGGCGGTGCTACACGTTGCCCTTGGAAGTAGGCTCCCTTCGCCTCGCCATGGAGTGCTCTTTCGCAGCCAGTGCTACTGTACCGTAAAACGCGTCGCAGCACCCAGTTATCCGCCATGAAAGAGCTTGCATGTCCACGTGGACGCGGCCTAGCAATGCGGGTGTCAGTACACCCAGATATTCGATCATGTCACAGGTTTTGAAACGACAGGTGTGATTGTTTTTTGTGCCGAGTGACCATATCGCTTTATTATCACATTGGCCCAATTCCGCACCTAAAACGTGACTGTAACACCCGACGGTCGATTCGGAATCTCGTCAAGGATGCTGCCGAAGATCTCGCGCGGTGTTTTGTCTTTCACTGGGGACTTTCGAGACTTGGAGGGACAGTTTGTAAAGCATAAAAGGACTCGAATACTGGATTTTCGACTACAAACAACGCAGAAGACAAACCAAGATAGACTCAAACCAGAGGTTCAGTATTCACTGAACTAAGTTGAATGTACCAAAAAGTTTCTTTTATCGACTGTTCTTGTATCGAATATCTGAGTGTAGTACTCGCTGTTGTGTTGTACAGTATCATACAGCCCCAAACGGTATAGATCGAGCTCGAATCTCCACTAGACTCATCTCGCGGCTTTGCGTTGCCCACTTGCACCCAGCGTGCTCGGCTGGATCCGCTTGGCCAATGGACGCAGCTAAGGCCCAGCTAGGCAATCAGACGATGAGCATCCAGCTAGCAACACGTAACCTGGTTCTGTGCGTGCGAGCAAGGCCGGCGGCGGCGGATAAATCTGGCAGAACGGCCACGTGTACGCGAGATGCTGTAGTTGCTGGTCGGGTCCAATGATCCAATCGATCCTCGCGGCAGATGTAACCTGGTCACCGTTTCAGGGTGTCAGGTCCAGCCGCGTTCTTTCAAGCACTGCTGGCAGATGAACCTCGCACCACTCCAAATCTCCCCCTCCCCGTTTTGTCGGCCGTATTTACCTGCTTCATCAAGCGAGCTCCCTGAATTGCACTCCCTGTAGTACCGCGTTCGCCGCTCACGCGTAATGATGGATATCCGCTGCCTCACGAGTCGAGCATTCAGCCAGCTAAGCGCCAGTGGTGGTTCGAGGATTTCGAGAAGTCTTTTTTTCGAAAGCCTCTCGCCATTTCTTCACCAACGAGCATTCTTTACCTCAACAGTTGTTCAGTCGCACGTAATACGATTACGCCATTTCTGCTACTAAAACACCATATTTCCCTAGAAGTAGCAGAGTGACGGTAATTTGCTCAAGCGACGTCAGAAAGCTCGACTTTCCTACGACTTCTACTTGCATGAAGCCCCTTCAAGCAACCCCCGCGCCATAGCTCCTGCGACTGGTAAATCAAGATTCGCATATGTGATGGCGTCTCCATCCGTCGAATCAACCCGGCCGTTTCATCCGAACGATCCCGATAACCGACCTCTTTGCGCTGAAGCGGACTATACAGAGGAGAGCGACGGGGACGCCCTGATGGGGTATCCTATAAGCGAGGACAACGATAGCGAGGATAACAATAACGAGGACGACGGTAACGAGGACAGCGGGCTCCTGGAGGCTGAGTGGGCGCGGCAACTCATCGCGTCGCAGTGGAACATTCGAGTCGGTGTCCGCCAGGCGATGCTGGGACAGAGCTCCGCTGGGTATGGCGCTACAGCCGATTGCGCTACAGCCGATTGTGCTACAGCCGATTGGGCTACAGCCGATTGGGCTACAGCCGATTGCGAACTTGGCTTGACCACATCGACCAAGGCAGCTTGTTCCACTGCTGGCAGGTGCCATGGAAACTGCAAAAGTGACGTCTCGAAGCAGCCCGTATCGTCTCCTGCATCTGCAGCTGCTCTCGCTTCCCCCCGTCCTACAAGCACGCGTGCTGTAGTCGCACCGGGAGGCGGCACATTCAAAAGCCAGTGTACCAAACAGCAGCAGCGGCAGCAGCAGCAGGAGGACCAGCATCAGCAGCATCACCCGCAGGATCACCAGCAGCACCACCAGCAGCAGGAGCATCACCAGCAGCTGCAGCACAACTGCCAGCAGCACCCTCAGCAGCACCAACAGCATCAGCATCACGAGCAGCCCCAGCAACAGCACCAGCAACAGCACCAGCAGCAGCAGCACCAGCAGCAGCACCAGCAACCGCACCAGCAGCAGCAGCACCCCCAGCAGCAGCAGCACCCCCAGCAGCACCAGCAGAAGCACCAGCAGCAGCACTGTCAGCAGCAGCACCCCCAGCGGCAGCAGCAGCAGCACCAGCAACAGCAGCAGCAGCAGCAGCAGCAGCAGCAGCAGCAGCAGCGCCAGCAGCAGCACCACCGGGTCGAGCGGAAAAGCATCTCTCCTCCTCACTGGCGTCCGCAGATCGCACGCGGCCGTTCCACCGAGCCACACACACGCACAGGGCATTGCGTGCGCGGTAATAGGTGCAGCGAAGACTGTGGGGGGAGTGGAGTGCATAGTGGGGGGAGTGGCGCACACGGTGGAGTGCACAATGGGGGAAATAGCACGCACAATCTGGCGAGCATTGGAGCTGTAGCCCGCGCACGGTTAAGGCAGCTGACTGCCACACCAGCAGCAGGCAGAACGGCAGTATCAAGTGCACCTGCTGCTTTCCCTACATCAACAGCAGCCCCCACAGCAGCAGCAGCAGCAGCAGCAGCAGCAGCAGCAGCAGCAGAGGAGCGACCCTCGTCTCCCATGCACTCTGCGTGGCAGGAGATTGAGGAGCGGTTCAACGAAGAAGCCCAGCCACCAACTCAGCGGCCAACTCAGCAGCCAACTCAGATTGGCGGCAGCACACGTCCCACTCCCAGCCCTGCCATTCTCTCCCCATCGCCACCACCCTACCCGCGCATGCATCGCCCAATGCACCGCCGGTCGCAGTCCAGCCTCCCAGTCTCGTCTCTCAACGAGCGGCATCTCACCCAGGCTGCGCTCTCAGTCACTCTCTCCCCTCCCCACGCTGACTGTGAGGGCAGCAGACAGTGTGTGCGGCACGCGCTGAGGCACGAAAGGAGCCCGCTCGCTAGTCCAGTGAACAGCCCCCGAGCAAGCCGGGTTACAATGCCATCAAGCTCACCGATACCGAGTCCACGGTGTTCCAGTCGGCTGCCATTTCAGCAGGCTATCAGCCAGCAGGCTATCAGCCAGCAGGCTATCAGCCAGCAGGCTATCAGCCAGGAGGCTATCAGCCAGCAGGCTATCAGCCAGCAGGCTGACCTCTACAATGTCTCCCCTCCATCCCCTGCCAGCTGGGCGGTTAACCCCCGGCGCGGTGTGGGCCGGGCTCGGTCTCTTGACATCCCAACTCTCATGCCGCAGTCGCAGTCACTTGACAACCCATCGTTTGCACCGCAGTCATCGGCTGATCCGTGGAAAAGTCACGACCGGGGGGGGGCAGGCTGGAATGACGTCACCTTGTCAGGCTGTCATCATGCCATGCCGGTCCCTCAAAAGTCACCGCGCCCTCAGCATGCCATGCACGCTACTCCCGGCTTCAAGCAGCCTAGCAGCGAAGCTGTTGCGGCTCATACTGCTGCGCCTGCTCCTGCTAAGAAGAGCAGCCTTTCGAGCAGCCATGGTTACTACAACAGCAGTGCCATAGCAATGGTGGTATCGCAGGGACAGGGCCACTATGGGTCATCCTCGCCTGCAGTAAGCTCACGGCGCAGGCGGTAGATGCCGCAGACAAGCTACCCTCAGCTTGCTCTCAGTTACTGCGAGCGGCACGAAGAGGCAGTCTCAGCATCGGCAGGAGTGGGTTTTGAGTCGACTAAAAAAGCACCGCAGTCCTACTACCCTCAGCTTGCTCTTTGCTACTGCGAGCGGCAGTCGAGAGCAGACTCAGGAGGCTCAGGAGGCTCAGGAGGCTCAGGAGGATCAGGAGGCTCGCATCTTTCATTCCTGGGGAGGCAGAGCAGGAGTGTCGTGCCGAGATCAAGCGCTTTTGAGCCGCTGGAACACAAGACCTGTCATCAGGGCTCTATGCAGGTGCGGAGGGTTTGGAGCATCGAAGAGAGTAAGGGTGGAAGAGTTGGGCTGCTGAAACCGATTTGCAGCAAAGCTGCTGACTCCGCTGGAGCAAATTTCCCCCCTTCACATTTTGGGAGAAGATGCTTCTGACCCACACGGGCCCCAGCAGGTGCAGCAGCAATGGAAGCAGCAGCTAAAACACCAATGGCAACACAAGCATGGGATGCATGGACAAGGTTGAATAAAGGTAAACAATGTTTTATTGTAAACCAATCTACGGTACATCATAGCTGCAACGTGTGGAATTCATATTTGTCTGTATTATTTTTTCCAATCCTGATTGAAACATACCGGTACTTGGATGTGCTAAACGTAGTGGTAGGTAGAAGATGGAAATGATACTTTAACCCTAATCGTTCATATTGGATTCACTGCCTTCTTATGACGGATAATGAGACTCAACATAGCGGACAGATTCAGCTTCCCTCCCTCGTCTTGCTTGGCAATCCCAAAGCCCCCTTCACCACACTCCAGCTGGAGCCAGTCATGATTCTCCTTTGGCGAGCGAAACTGTCCGTCAGATCCGTCGAGTGGGTGTTTCGCGAAAACCATTCGGCGAGCTAGTCAGTAGTTACAGATCGATGGTAACAGTCGCTGTCCCCGACTTCGCTGCAGCATGTAGCTGCGACGAAAAAGAAGCGCCAACAGGGTGAGGCGTCGTCTGGGGCACACACGAAACCGAATCTCGATCAAACGTTCATTCGCCAGACCCGTCGCGAGCTGCCCTCCGATGGCCTTGCGAAATGTTTCTCCGACGCTGGTCGGTGGGCTTTTTCAAATTGTTGGCGGGAACGGTGCTCAGGCGCCTCGAGGACGCACGAATCTGAAACCCCAGTGGAGGCGCCTCGAGACTGCCTGCGGCGAACCTTCTTTGTCATTTCGAAACCCTCTGATTTCATCTGACGTGGCGTGCAACGCAGCGAACAGCGAGGCAAGCGATTGGTGAAACCCCAATGGGCAGCCAGTGGAAGCATCTGGAGCCTCGAGGCGAGGGTTTGTTTGAGCGGCCGAGGGTGGAGTGGAGTAGAAATGGGCTCGCGAGGGTTTGATCTCGTCATTCCCACCTCCGTCTCTCCTCCTGCTGGCTTCTTGCTTGTGGGATCTCCGGATCTGCACTTCCTAGTACCCCTGCTCCTTCCTGCTGAGAGCACAACAGTCAGCTTTGCGTAAACTGATTGAAAGTCAAGCCGATCGCTAGAACAAGCGATCTTGGTGTCTCCAGATCTGCAACTAGTAAGCTTCTCTCGACTCATCTCCTGTAAACACGCTTCTGTCAAGCGATCTGCGGTCAACTGTCCATCAACTTGCATGGCATCTGATGCGGATTGCTGCGTCGTTAACGGCGGAGTGGCGAAGATCATTCAAGCTGCTTCGCCAACCTCCAGTCCTGCAACGCCTACCAGAGGCATTGGCAGGTTCGGCACGCCTCGTACGGTTTTCACTCCTGCTGCATACTCTTCTGTCAAATCTGCCTTTGAGAAAGTACCAGATCTGAAGCTCCCTGCTGCTGCGTGCGACGCCAAGACTGCGATCAACGCCAGCGACTCTGTCAGCTGCTGCAGCTGCGTGCGTCTGAAGAGCGTGAGGCCCCTGCTGGAGAATCTGGCGAAGCAGATGCAGGCGTCTTCCTCCCAAGGCCACTCCGATGCTGATCGCCTTCAGAAGATAAAGAAGGTTCAGATCACTGATTCTTCAGACGTTAAGAGGCTGGGAATTGGCCGGTTTGGAGGGAAGGCTGCGGCTGCTGCGGCTGCTGCTGCTGCTGCTGCTCCAGTCATACCGCCTGTGGCCGTGATTCTTGTGTCGCCTGTGGTTCCTGTGGCTCTGACTGCATCGAAGGTGACGGATACTACCGTGACTCCTGCAGCTGCAGCAGCAGTGCTTGTAGCGGATTCTGCTGCACCGTCAGTGAACCCAGTTGAGAACGTGAACGAGTGCAGCAACAACGGGCTGAGGGTGTCTGGTGAGGCGAGTGGAAGTGTTATCCGCTCACGCGAAGAGAGGGAGGCGAGCTGGAAGAAGCTGTGTGAGGAGATCTGGGCCATGGACATTGAGAAGACCAAGGCAGCCATGCCTGACTGGATAGTGGCCAAGTATGCTAAGGATGTTGCGAAGCTGGCTCGGAAAAACGTCCCAGTTGCATCTGCAGCAGCAGCGAGTGTAGCAGAATCAGCAGCACCATCCTTGAGCCCAGTCAAGGAGTCGGTTGCGCCATCGGTGAGCCCAGCTGCAGAGACGGTTTGCCAGGTGCAGTCTGAAAGCAGGTCAGGCAAGAACGAGTTAAGCAGCAACGGGCTTATCATGTGTGGCGAGGCGAGTGGAAGGGTGTTGCGTTCACATGAAGAGTGGCAAGCCAGGTTCGACAAGCTGAGCAAGGAGGTACGGGCCATGGACATTGAGAAGACCAAAGCGGCAATGCCGGACTGGATTGTCGCCAAGTATGCTGATGCTGTCGCAAAGCTGACTTGTACTAACGGGTCTTCCTCCACTTCTGCAGCAGCAGCACCTGCTGCAGCAGCAACTGTAGCAGAGTCTGAAGCACCATCTGCTGCAGCAGGGGTAACGAAATCACATGCTGGTGCATCATCAGTGAAGGGTGCTGCACCATCTGCACCATCTGCTAGCATGCAAGGCCAGGCTGGCAAGGCCAGCAGCAGCCATGCGAGTGGGGTGGAGAGGAGAGAGGGGGGTGGGTGTGGGGAGAGAGCAGCAGGGAGGGCAGCAGGTGGAAGGCAGGCTGCTGTGAAGGCAGCAGGTGGGAGGGCAGCAGCAGGTGGGAGGGGCCGTGGCAGAGCAGTGGCAAGTGGGGTGTGTGGCAGTGTGGGGATGAAGCAGCAGGCGGGGAAGAGAGAGGGCTTGGCGCATGAGAGGCAGGTGAGGCCAGGCGGGTGCAGCAGCGGGGTGCACAGAAGGTCGTCCTGATACAACTGTGATCAGAATAACACAAGTCCCAGCTGCTGTTGGGTATACATGTGATGCTTGTAGGCAGAAACTGCCTTATCTGTACATTCGTTAGGATACTGGTTACCTAGGGAGTGACTGCCTATTTTGTGTACATTTGCTGGGAAAGAAGAGCCTGATTGTACTCCTGTTTTGATACTTGTAATGAGGAAAGTTTGTAGTATGTCTTTCTGTCATGTATTATGACTTGGTACGGTTCTGTCTCACTTGGGGAATTCAAGGTTGATTTGGATTGTAGGGAGGGTGTGCAAGATTGATACATGCATATTGTTTCAAGCACGCAACACTTTACATTTCTCTAAACGAGCTGTTATCCCAAGCCGGTGCAGCAAGCAGCCCAGCTTCAAGCACTTGTTATGCTACAACACACTCAACCGCCACTGCCCAACATCCTGCCAGCAATCACGCATTTGCTGCTGCTGCTGCAGCGGCAGCACCCACCCCACCCTTCTCTCCTCTGGGCTTCAGCCTGCACCAGAGCCCCGCCTTGGTGTGCATGGTGGCACCCATCACCATCTCCGTGTCCTCTGGCGGCCCGTCCAGGCGCACATCGAATCTGCGCAGGAGCATGGCAAGCGCCACAGTCGACTCCATCAGGGCGAACTGGTCGCCCACACACTTGCGCGGCCCGCCACCGAAGGGCAGGAAGGCAAAGTCAGACGCCACCTGGTTGGCAAAAATGGGTGTTGCAAGGGAGGTGGGAGAGAGAGGAGTGGGAGTGGGAGTGGGAGTGGGAGTGGGGAAGAGGGTGTTACTTGTGGGATGAAGAGGCAGAGCAGCAGACGGATGGACCGTTCAGCACATGGAATCTGTGCAGCAGCATGGCGGGCGCCATTGTGGACTTGGAGTCCATCAGGGCCAACTGGTCGCCATCTGCATGGCTGATGTTTATAAACGCTAGGACTCAGGCACACCACCAAGGTCACTTCTTAGTGACCCCATGCAATGCACTCAGCTCGTTGGGATGATACCCCCCTTTCCAGACAACCCCCCTCCCCCCACTCCCCTCCCCCCACTCCCCTCCCCCAACAAGTTGGGTTAACACAACACTCTCTCATTGGTGTAATAATCCCAATACACCCACCTCATTGGGGTAGAGCGCCCCCTGCAGGCGCTCAGGGTCATAACCATCCCACCCCTCGATGCCCTCGCCGCTCCGCTTCTCCAGAAACCTCTCCGGCCGAAACTCCTCCGGCTGCTCCCAGTAGTGCGGCGAGCGGTTGATGTTGAACACCTGAGGGGGGAGGGGAGGAGTGGGGGAGGGGGGAGAGGAGGGGGGAAGATGGGTGTGAAGGGTGGATGCAACAGGAAAGGCAGTACGCAAAGGCAAGGTGAAAAGAGAGGCGAAACTGCAAGGACAGACGGAGGAAAAACGGTTACTAGGGGCGAAGGAGAGTGCAGGGGCGAGTAGGAGAGGAGAGAGGAGAGGAGAGGAGAGGAGAGGAGAGAGAAGAGAGAGGAGAGGAGAGGAGAGAGGAGAGGAGAGGAGAGAGGAGAGGAGAGGAGAGGAGAGAGGAGAGGAGAGGAGAGGAGAGGAGAGGAGAGTGAGGGAGAGCGAGGGAGGGAGAGAGCTTACAGATACAAAGAGGTCAGTTCCCTTGGGAACGTTGTAACCATCGGGGTTGCCCTTGTAACCAGCTGTGAGGGGCGAGGAAAGCACCAATGGAGAAGGGATGGGATGGACCGATGTCATACAAAATGGAACGAGCAGGGATGGGATGGGATGGGATGGGATGGGATGGGATGGGATGGGATGGGATGGGACGGGATGGGATGGGATGGGATGGGATGGGATGGGATGGGATGGGATGGGATGGGATGGGATGGGATGGGATGGGATGGGATGGGATGGGATGGGATGGGATGGGATGGGATGGGATGGGATGGGATGGGGTGGGATGGGATGGGATGGGATGGGATGCGATGGGATGTGATGTCATGGGATGGCATGGCATGGCATGGCATGGCATGGCATGGGACGGCTTGGCATGGCATGGGATGGGATGGCATGGCATGGCATGGCATGGGATGGCATGGCATGGCATGGCATGGCATGGCATGGGACGGCATGGCATGGCATGGCATGGCATGGCATGGCATGGCATGGCATGGCATGGCATGGCATGGCATGGCATGGGATGGGATGGGATGGCATGGCATGGCATGGCATGGCATGGCATGGAGTAGCAGAACATAGGTGCAATATGTCAAGAGTAGGCTTAATGACACCAATACTAGGCGTGGCATGGAACGGAATACGTGGGTGGGAAAGTATTTCAATCAACAAACCAACGAGGGAAAGCATTTCAATCAACATGGCAACATGGCAAAGATACGGAGCGGCAAAGCACACAGATTACAGAGGTAGCACGAGGGTGAAAGTGGGGCTGCTTACGTGGCAGCTTGTCAGTTTCCAGCGCGCGGCGAATGAGCAGCGGCGGTTGGGGGTAGAGCCTGAGAGACTCTGCCACGACGAGGCGGGTGTACCTGAGGGGCGGAAGGGAAGGGAGAGTGGTGGCAGAGGGGTGGTAGAGGGGTGGTAGAGGGGTGTCGGTTGCAAGAGAGAAAATGAGTTATTTTGCTGCCTCTCATACGTGGGTAGAGAGCCCGAGAGACTCTGCCACTACGAGGCGGGTGTAGCTGAGGGGCGAAAGAAGGGAGGAGGGGGGGAGGGGAGGAGGATTTGGAAAGGTGTTGGTAGTCTGATAGGGAAGGTGATGAGAAAGGTAGTGGTGAAGTGGCGGTGGTGGGTGGTATGCAGAGAACGGAACGTTGACACTTGAGCACGTTGTCGCTTGGAGGGCAGCAGCGACGCGAGGCGAAGCGAGAGCATTGGGGGGAAAAACGGGAGAGGAGGGGCTGCATGCGGGGTGTCGTCTTGAGGCGCCTCAAAAGGAGAGCAGGAGGGGCTGCACGCGGGGTGGGGGTTGCGAAGGCAGGCACTCACTCGAGCGACTTGATATCCTGCAGCGTGGCCAGTCTGTCGCCCAGCACTCGGTCCACCTCCTCCTGCAGCTTCGCCAGCACGTGCGGGTGCTGACAGGGGTGACGGAGGGGGGACGGAGTGGGGGACAGAGGGGGGACAGAGGAGGGGGACAGAGGAGGGGGACAGAGGAGGGGGACAGAGGAGGGGGACAGAGGAGGGGGACAGAGGAGGGGGGCAGAGGAGGGGGACAGAGGGGGGGGACAGAGGAGGGGGACAGAGGAGGGGGACAGAGGAGGGGACAGAGGAGGGGGACAGAGGAGGGGGGCAGAGGAGGGGGACAGAGGGGGGGACAGAGGAGGGGGACAGAGGAGGGGGACAGAGGAGGGGGACAGAGGAGGGGGGCAGAGGAGGGGGACAGAGGGGGGGGACAGAGGAGGGGGACAGAGGAGGGGGAGAGAGGAGGGGGAGAGAGGAGGGGGACAGAGGAGGGGGACAGAGGAGGGGGACAGAGGAGGGGGACAGAGGAGGGGGACAGAGGAGGGGGACAGAGGAGGGGGACAGAGGAGGGGGACAGAGGAGGGGGACAGAGGAGGGGGACAGAGGAGGGGGACAGAGGAGGGGGACAGAGGAGGGGGACAGAGGAGGGGGACAGAGGAGGGGGGCAGAGGAGGGGGACAGAGGGGGGGACAGAGGAGGGGACAGAGGAGGGGGCAGAGGAGGGGGACAGAGGGGGGGGACAGAGGAGGGGACAGAGGAGGGGGACAGAGGGGGGGACAGAGGAGGGGGACAGAGGAGGGGGACAGAGGAGGGGACAGAGGAGGGGGACAGAGGAGGGGGCAGAGGAGGGGGACAGAGGGGGGGACAGAGGAGGGGGACAGAGGAGGGGGACAGAGGAGGGGGACAGAGGAGGGGGACAGAGGAGGGGGACAGAGGAGGGGGACAGAGGAGGGGGACAGAGGAGGGGGACAGAGGAGGGGGACAGAGGAGGGGGACAGAGGAGGGGGACAGAGGAGGGGGACAGAGGAGGGGGACAGAGGAGGGGGACAGAGGAGGGGGACAGAGGAGGGGGACAGAGGAGGGGGACAGAGGAGGGGGACAGAGGAGGGGGACAGAGGAGGGGACAGAGGAGGGGGACAGAGGAGGGGGACAGAGGAGGGGGACAGAGGAGGGGGACAGAGGAGGGGGACAGAGGAGGGGACAGAGGAGGGGGACAGAGGAGGGGGACAGAGGAGGGGGACAGAGGAGGGGGACAGAGGAGGGGGACAGAGGAGGGGGGCAGAGGAGGGGGACAGAGGGGGGGGACAGAGGAGGGGGACAGAGGAGGGGGCAGAGGAGGGGGACAGAGGGGGGGGACAGAGGAGGGGGACAGAGGAGGGGGACAGAGGAGGGGGACAGAGGAGGGGGACAGAGGAGGGGGACAGAGGAGGGGGACAGAGGAGGGGGACAGAGGAGGGGGACAGAGGAGGGGGACAGAGGGGGGGGACAGAGGAGGGGGACAGAGCGGGGAGGGAGAGGAAGTGATGCGTGGTATGGTCGAGTCAGGCAGCTGTCTCCCAGCACTCGGTCCACCTCCTCCTGCAGCTTCGCCAGCACGCGTGGGTGCTAGCATGGGAAGGGGCACGGTGCGGTGGGGAGAGGCAGAGAGAGGTTAGGGGCGTTTGAGTGAGTCAGACAGGAGGTCCCAGCACTCGGCCCGTAGGTTAGAGGGGAGGGGAGGCTGGGTGGCAAGACTAGGGAGGGTGAGGAATGAGGTACGAGCAAGCACGAGCCAGCATGCATGAAATCGCTTTATTTCCCACACAACTGAGCCAGCATGTGGGTTGCCCATGTGAGCATAGCTGCTGTGGTCTCCTGCCCCCCGACGAGCATGGTCATGAGGTCGTCCCAGTAGGTGATAGCAAAACTGCCTTTTACCTGAGGAAGTGCACAGGTACCTGAGCCAGCATGTAAGTAGCCCAAGTGAGCACTGCAGCCATGGTCTTGTGACCCGCGACCAGCATGGTCATGAGGTCGCCCCTCAGCTGCTTGTCGTCGCAGTGCCCCCCCCACCCCTCCCTCAAGCCCTTTGGGTGCTCCCCACACACCTGATTCACCATATGGGTACCTGAGCGAGCATGTATGTGGCCCAGGTCAAAACAGCCGCAGTGGTCTCGTGGCCCGCAACGAGCATGGTCATGAGGTCGTCCCGCAGCTGCTTGTCATCGCAGTCCTCCCCCCGAAGGTCCACCAGGAACCGCAGCAGACTCGCGTCCTTCACCTTGGAGTAGTCCCGCTGCTGCAGGGCTTCTAGGTCGTCTTCCTGTAGGTACGGGTAGGGGCAGAGGGGGATGCAAAAGAAGCAAGGGGGAAGGGAGAAGAGGGGCCAAAGAGAGGGGTTAGAGTCCTCCCTTCTGCGGTCCACCAGGAACCGCAGCAGGCTCACGTCCTTCGCCTTGCTGTAGCCGCACTGCTGTAATGCCTCTAGATCGTCCTCCTGTGGGGAAGGGAGGAGGGAGGGGAGAGGCACAGCAGGGGAGGAAGAGAGGTGAGAGTGAGGGCAGATGGACGACTAACATCCAGGATCGTCTGCCATGCAAGCTGCACAGTGTAGCGGAAGCAAGCAAGCTGGGGTTAACAGGTCAGACCATTTTGGTCCACAGCATCGACAAGTCCCACCTGCCGCGTGGCTCTGGCCTGCGTATCATGAGGCAGTCCGGGCCCGAGCAGTCGTTTGAGGCGCCTCAAAAGTCTGCGTATCATGGGGCCGTCCGGGCCCGAGCAGTCGTTTGAGGCGCCTCAAAAGTCTGCGTATCATGAGGCCGTCCGGGCCTGAGCAGTGGTTCATCACTTTGACGTTCTTGCCTTCCCTGCTGGCTGCCCCTGCTCACACTGCCATCTGCCTCCCACCGTCATCCCTTCACCTGCCACGTGGCTCTAGCCCATGTGATGAGGTCATCGAGGCAGTCGTTGAACACGCTCTCAGGTCCCCTCCCCTCATCGCCCCCTCAAGCTGCCCCATACTCCCCGGTTCACCTACGACCTCTCCCTCTCTCTCCCCTCACTCCCTCTCACTCCCCTCACTCCCTCTCACTCCCTCTCACTCCCTCTCACTCCCTCTCACTCCCCTCACGCCCTGCCCCTCACCTGGCGCGTGGCTCTAGCCCGTGTGATGAGGTCATCGAGGCAGTCGTTGATCACTTTGAGGTCCTGCTGGAACTTGAACTGCCGAGGGACCACGAAGCTGAGAACGGGGTGAGAGGGGAGGAAGGGGGGGTGGGAGTGGGAGGGAGGGAGGTGGGAAGAGAGAATGTATTGAGTTGGCCCATTTCGCAACAGTCGTTGACGGCTTTGAGGTCCGGCTGGAACTTGAACTGCCGAGGGACCATGAAGCTCAATAACAGCAAGGGGGGTGGGGGAGGGAGAGTGGGGGAGAGAGTGCGGGAGGGAGTGGGGATGTTCCAATAAGGGCGTCCCGCTCACGCACCTTACAAAGGGGATATTCTAGTACGGGATGTAGGAGGTCACCCGGTGCTCGGCCTCTGACAGCAAGCCAATACACCACCTTGATCACGGGGGACTCCCTCCCTTGCCTGGCTCTAACTCTTTCTTGCCGGGCTGAATCTTGGCTTTAACTCATAAACAGCAAAACGGCGCCCAATCCAACGAGTGAATCTGACCAGACCCACCTTGTAGAGGGGATGTTCCAATAATGGATGTCGAAAAGTGGCCCCGTGCTCGGCCTCTGAGAGCGTGCCGTGCCGCACACCGCTTTGATCACTGGGGCGATTCCCTCATGCATGATGACAATCTAGTTTTGAGACGCCTCAAAGCTGCCATCAATGGCGAGCGGCTTCCTCGTCTCGTCGTCACCGACCCAAAGCCGCAGAGAGAGCTACCGATGATGCCAGAGGTGATGGCGAACGCACCTTATACCAGGGATGTTCCAGTAGGGAATGTAGAAGGTCGCTCGGTGCTCGGCCTCTGAGAGTGTCCCGTACACCGCCTTGATCACGGGCGACTCGCGCGTGACGGAGCCAAAGTCGTAGTTGAAGACAGAGATGCCGATGATGTCAAGCGCAATGGACGAGTACTCGGCTTCCATGTCCATGCGCACCTCGCCCCCTGCTCCTGCACCATCGCACAGTGCCTGTAGCTTGTCCACGGAGCGCTTGGCGCACTCGGAGAAGACCAGAGCCATGGCCTCGAGGTAGGCGGCATGAAAGCCAGGCACGATGGCTGGGAGGGACGTTGAGGGATGGGGAAGGGGAAAGGGGGCAAAATCGTAGTTGAAGACGGAGATGCTGAGGATGTCGAGGGCAGTGGATGAGCACGCCGCCTCCATGCCCAACCGCACCTCGCCCCCGGCCTCTCCGCATAGTGCTTGTAGTTTGTCCACTGAGCGCTTGGCGCACTTGGAAAAGACCAGAGCCATGGCCTCGAGGTAGGCCGCGTGGAAGCCAGGCACGATGGCTGGGGTGTGGGGGGGGAAGTGGGAGGAGCGAGGTTGGAAGGGGGAGGGAGGGATTGAGCGGTTGGAAGGGGGAGGGGTCGAATGAGGATTGAGCGGTTGGAACTTGGAAGGGGGAGGGGCGGGCGACTGAAGCAGATTGTTCATTCGACCGCCGACCACCCCTTCAGATTCCTTCATTCCCCGCCAACCTCGTTCCTTCAGTCACAGCCTCTTACCAGCGCCGACCACCCCTCTCACCTCGTGTCCTCTGCTGCCAGGCCTCATCATCCCTTCATTTACTATCCCTCCACCCCCACCCCTCACCCCCCACCCCACACCACTCATCCCCCACCCACCACCCCTCAACCCTCACCCCCCAACCCTCACCACCCATCACTCACACAACTCACCCCTCACCTCTTTCCCCTCACCTCTCCCCCTCACCACTCTCCACCCCTCACCACCGCTCACCTCGTCGCCTCTGCTTCCACGTGTCGAAGTCAGCGGGGATGAGCCCCTTGCCCATGATGGGCTCCAGCAGCTCCGCCAGCATGCCCTGCGCGGGGGGGGGGGGAGAACAAGGGGGGCGGGCAACGGGTTGAAGGGGCAAAGAGGTGAGTGAGAAGCAAAGGGGGCATTGGTGCGAGCCCCTTGCCCATGATGGGCTCCAGCAGCCCCGCCAGCATGCCGTGTGCAAGGGGGGGGAGAGAGGGGCAAAGAGGGGGCAACGAGGGGGGCGCAGCGGGTTGAGGGGGTAAAGAGGGGGGCGCAGCGGGTTGAAGGGGCAAAGAGGTCGGCACAGTGGATGTTGATGGGCCCCTTGCCCATGATGGGCTCCAGCAGCTCCGCCAGCATGCCCCGTGCGGTGGGGGGGGTGGGGGGAAAGGGGGGGACAAGGGGGCGGGGGGACGAGGTTGAGCGAGAGGGACGAGGATATTGGAGAGCCCCTTGCCCATGATGGGCTCCAGCAGCTCCGCCAGCATGCTGTGTGCAGAGCAACATCAAGGAACAAGGGAGGATGGAAAGGGGGATGCGAAGGGGGATGCGAAGGGGGATGCGAAGGGGGATGCGAAGGGGGATGCGAAGGGGATGCGAAGGGGGATGCGAGGAGGAGGGAGAGGGAGCGTTGTGGGAGGGACATCTGGTCAACATAGTCTCATCAGGTGGTCAAGGGAAGTCCGCATCCTGCAAAGTTACGAGAAAAGAGCTTTGCAGGACGCGGACGCGGCGTCAGCCGGCCTGCAAAGCTCAGCCTCAGCCGGCCAGGAAGGCGTACCTTATCGTAGGCGAAGGCGTTCTCTTTGAGCACGTGGCGCGCAATGATTGGATCCGAGATGACCACGAAGGCCTTGGGGCCGAAGGCCAACCGGTACACGCCTCCCAGCTGCAAGAGAGGGAAGGGGGAAGGCGGAGGGGAGGGAGGGGAGAGGGGTTGGTTGGTGGGAGAGGAAGAAGGGGAGGGGCGGATAGGCGAAAGTGACTCGTGAGTGGACACAACCAGTCTGTGCCTTGTGCCGGCTACTGTTGTTGTTGCTGACATGACGATGAGAAGAGGAGTGAGAAGCACAGTAATGAAATGCTTCCGATGAATCTAGTGCATACCATGTGCATACCATGTGCATACCATGTGCATACCATGTGCATACCATGTGCATACCATGTGCATACCATGTGCATACCATGTGCATACCATTTGCATACCATGTGCATACCATGTGCATACCCTGTGCATACCATGTGCATACCATGTGCATACCATGTGCACGCACCTCGAGGAACCAGTTGTGCAGGGCGAAGAAGAGCGGGCGGGCGATGAGGTCCGACACATGGCCTCAAGTGACCCTCTGAGTGACCTTGAAGTTACCATTGCAGCACACGGACTACCGACCTCGACGAGCCACCAGTTGCAGCAGCACCCCACAGCGCACGCACCTCGAGGAACCAGTTGTGCAGAGCGAAGAAGAGCGGGCGGCCGATGAGGTCCGACACTTCACCAGCCGCCGTGGGCATGCCGGACATGTCGCCGCCGCTCAGCACGCGCGTCAGCAGGTTGCTGCCCATGTCGTACAGGCTCTGAAGAGAAGGAAACAAACAGTACATAGGGCGGTACGCAGGGAGGAAAGGGTGAGGGGGGTCAGACACCTGGCCTGAGGCTGTGGGCATGCTCGACATGCCGCCGCTCAGCACGCGGGTCAGGAAATTGCTGCCCATATCGTACAGGCTCTGGAGGGAGGGGCGGAGAGCAACAAGCAGGGAGGGAGGATGCATGCATAGCAATGTGCTTGGAGGAAGGATGTAACAGCAATGTGCGTGAGGAAAGGTGTACTGGCAAATGCATGCTCCAGCTCATCGCACCTGCATTGCTGGCTTCTCCTTGTTGCTTTTGAGTCGAAAGTGTTGTGTGACATTGTAACGAGTTGACTTCTGAGTCGACTCAAAAGTCATCTCGCAAATGCATGCTCCAGTTCAGCGATCACCGCACCTGCATTGCTGGCTTCTCCTTATTGCTCCCTCCATTACCGCCGGACCCGGAAGAAGCTGCTCTTATGGGAGCACCGCGCGGCTGCTTGTCTGCACCCAACCACAGAACCACGGCAATGGGGACAGCAAGAGACCGAATTCTGAATCGTCTCACATGGTTTCGTTAGCCACTGTTACCCTGCTACAGCATGCTCGCCCTGTGTTCGTCGTTCGCGGAAGGGAAAAAATATCAGGGGAAAAAACTAACACGTCGAAGGTAAGAAACTAACGTTTGAGCAATGGTATTGACTTCCGTTGTGAACAACATGGTAGAGAGCTTTCGTCAACAATGTTGCAATGAACTGCGGGATACCTGCGAAAGCGACATTCGCGGCTGGCTGCTTTCGCCCGCGCGAGAGCCTCGTGCTCCCAGCGACGAACGACGACGCGCTCTGACCGATGCCGACACTGGCGGTCGACAACGACGCCATGGCCGCTCCTTACAGACACCGACTAGAAATTAGACGTCTAAAATCGGGCGGTGAGATCCGAGGCGAGCCCTCGTGGTCTGGCTCACAGCCAAAAAGCAGAGCTAGATTCCGCTCTGCAGACTTGAATTATTTGGATCAGGACACCAGCAGCCTAGATACAGTACTGCAGAGAGACAGCTTGATCAGCAAATCTGACATCCCCTCGGGAGCTGGAGGAGCAGGAGCAGGTGCAGCCAAATGAGTGAAGGGGGAAGGAAGGGGGGGAGGGAGTGTGAGGGAGGGGAGCGGGGACGAGGGAGGGGAAGGGGAGAAACGAAGGCAGCGCATGATGAGATCGAGGGTGGTGGCGAGGGCGGATGGCGAAGAGCGACGAGAGGTGAACGCCGTGCGAGCGAAAGCAGGCGACAGAATCACGAAGAATCGCGAGGAAACGCGGGAAGGGCGAAGCGCATTCGCCGCGGCTCCTGTCAAATTGCAACCCCCAATCCTTTTCCTCGCGCTTTTCCGCGTCAGCATTATCCACATCGATTGATGATCTGCACAATCACCGTCGCTGTAACACTGTCGGCGCTAAACGTACGCCTCGTACAGATTAGTAAAGAAAATAATTCGAGACAAGTAGTTATGCATGAAGGGAATCGGGGTGGTTCCACAAGCTTGTATTGCGGATCCCTTGTGCCCCTTCGCGTTCATTAATGAGTGAAAAGTCCGCTATATCGCTATCCCTCATCTGTTCCTCATGTGATCGTCGCTCATCTTCCACCTTGGCCATACTCTCCGCTTCCGTCTTCATTCTCCTTACAATTTCTTGCTCCTCCTCTTCCCTCCTCTCCTTGCTGCTCCCAACCCCATCGAACATATTACCTAATACATTCCCCTCCCCTTCATCCTCATCCTCCTCCACACCAACACCAACACCTCTTCCCCCAGCCACTCCTCGAAGCCCTAGCCCCCTTGCGAGCCCGTTGCCTCCACCACCCTTACCCACTCTCCTCTTTCCCCTTACTTCCCTCTTCTCTGTCCTCCTCTCTCTCCCACCCATCTCATTCACACCACCAGCTCTCAATGTACCATCAGCCCTCAAAACACTAGACCCAGCAACACCACTCCTCCCCACACCCGACCTGTCCACTCCATGCTCCAAACCCCCCTCCATATCCCCCTCCTCCAAACCATAGTTCTTAATCTCCTTCCCTCCCCCCCTTTCATCTGCTGCCCCTTTCCCCTCCTCGCTTTCCCCCTCCTCCTTCTCTCCTCCCTTGTCCTCCCCAAAGCACATGCACGCCTCATCCCGGGGATGCCGATACACACTTCTCGATACCCTCCTCTTCCCCACTGCCTTACTCTCCCCTGCCATCTCCCTCACTCTCTCCTCCACCTCTTCCCACTCCATTATTTTTTCCTCCGCGTCACCCCTCCACTCCTCCCCCGCCCGCAGATCTTTCCCGCCGCCCAAATCTTCTGCCAACTTTGCGCGGTGGATGCGCACGGATGGCCTGTAACCGCGCTGGTAACCAGATTCGCTGCTAGAGTTACAGCCAGTCGTCGTGCAATTGGATCTTTTGTCTGGACTAGATCTGAAGTACATGCGCCGCCCCGCCACCAGCGCCGCCAGCTGGCTGCTGCCATCCGCTGCAAGGAAGAGATCTGAATCGCTGGCCACTATGGTTTCAAGGGCAGTGAGCTGAGTGAAGGACAGGCGGGCAAGGTGGGAGAAGCGGCAGGAGATTAAATTTGTATGAGAAATGACCACGGGTTGAGAAATGACCATGGTTTGAGGAATGACCACGGGTTGAGGTATGACCATGGGTTGAGAAATGACCATGGGGTGAGGAATGACCATGGTTTGAGGAATGATGATGGTGGGCGGATGATGGTGGGCGGATGATGGTATGAGAAAGAATGATGGTGGATAAAAGTGCTAGAGGAGATGGGAATGTGGTATTCAGTACCAATAGGGGTGATTGCACGTAGCATGCAATCTCGTGGGGAGAGAGAAGGGTGTCGATGGACCAGAGGGAGGGGAAGAGAGTGACATGGGGAGAAAACGAGGCGACGGCATGGAAGGGGCGATGTGGGGGCAGTAGGTTACCAGCAGAGGCGAGTGTGCGTAGGGTGCGATCTCGTGGGGAGAGAGCAGGGTGTCGATGGAGGAGAGCGAGGGGAAGAGTGCTCGGAAGGCTTCCAGCCGGCGACACCCGTTGAACCACCTCCTGCCCTGTCCTTTCAACTGCTCCTCCTGCTGGGCTCTCAGCTGCTGCTCCTCTTCCGGCCTATTCTGCTTCTCCCCATCCCCTCCACCACTCTCCCCACCAGAAAACCCGCCATCTCCAAGCAGACTCATGACCACCCGTTCTCTCACAGCCTCCGCCTCCTCCTCCTCCCCACCACCCTCCCTGCTAAGCAGCCCCTCATCCCCAAGCACGATCCCGCACGGGTGCGCAGACACCCCTACCAGGAACACAGGCCGCGTCCTCCTCAACCCCATGGCGGCCAGCACCACGGCCGCCTCCTCGGGGGCCACGGGGCAGCGGCCGATGCGGCGGTACCAGTCAGGTGCGTTGAGGCGGCCCTGGCGCTCGTAGTCGTGCAGCACGGGGAACAGCAGGCGCCGTATGTCCCGCAGCTGCTCCGCTTCTTCATCTGCTTCGTCTTGGCTTTGATCTCGTTGGGTGAAGGAGCAGAGGGAGTAGGCGGCGGAGATGGCGTCGAACGGTATGTGCGCTGCCACGTAGCAACGGCTGGCTTGTGGAGCATCTTGAGAGCCCAGCTGACCGACGTCACTATGCACCTGACCAGATTTACTGCCAGTCACCTGAGCAGCGGTTTTCACCTGGACTTTGACCTGATTGTGCTGAATATCCACCTGGCCTTCCATCCTCTTCCTTCCGCCACCTCCTACCCACTCTCCCCCACTTCCCGCAGTACGCTTTCCCGCTTCATCCTCACCATCCATCCCCTCTTCCTGCACACGTGGCAGTACGCCGTTGGCCGATCTCAGCCGTTGGATCGCCAGCTGTGCCGTGGCACGGATGGCTGGCAGGAAGGTCAAGGCGTGGAACATGCAGCGACAGCGCAGGCGCTGGAGGGATGGGGGCGCAGGGGAGAGGGGAAGGAGAAGAGGAGGGGGGGTTTGGGGATGGTTTGTGCCGTGGCACGGATGGCTGGCAGGCAGGAAGGTTAGGGAGTGGAACATGCAGTGACAGCGCAGGCGCTGGGGGGGTGGGGAGGAGAGGGGTGGGGAGGGAAGGGTGGTATTGGTGGTGAGATGGTAGCAGAACCACTGAGTTGACCCAAAAGTGATTGCAGCTGGCAGGAAGGCTAGGGGGTGGGATGTTTTTGAGAGTTCTCAAAAACACCAGGCAAAAACAATGATTGCAGCTGGCAGGAAGGCTAGGGGGTGGGTGGGACATGAACCGAGAGTACCGGCGCTGAGAAGGGGGAGAGGGGTGTGGTTTGACGGTAGCACAAATACTGCGATGACTTGAAAGTTGATTGTGGACGGCAGGAAGGAGAGGGCATGGAGCATGCGGAAGGAGAGGGCATGGAGCATGCCGTGGCAGCATAGGTGTTAAAGCGGAAGCACGAGGCGGGTGGGAAGAGGGGGGGAGAGAGGAAGGGGGGGGGGGGGGTTGTGGGGGTTCGACGGGAGCACAGGCACTGGAGCATGCAGCGTACAGCGCAGGCACCGGGATAATGCTAGAGCAGGGGGGGAGAGAGAGGGGGTGGGAGGGAGGGGGTTGTTTGGACAATTGAGGGTGAACTGAGGCACCGCGTGATAGGAGTCTAGTTTTGAGGCGCCTCAAAACTTGTTTGGACAATTGAGGGTGAACTGAGGGCAGCTCGCAGCAGGAAGGTCGCTGACTCGTTGGCATGGAACATGCAGCAGCAGTGCGGACGCTGGCAGGTGGGTTGGGAAGTGAGGGGAGATGGGGAGGGGGGAGAGGGGTACAGGGGGGGGGAGAGAGGGGGCGGGAGAGGAGAAGGGGAAGGGGAGTGGGGAACAAGTGGTGGGGGATTGCGGGGCGAGGGGATGAGATGAGCAGTGGCGAGTGAAACGGTGAGGAGTGATTCGATGTGGTGCAGAGCAGCAGAGTAACTCGATGCATTTTAAGCTCAGCTGAGCCTGCGGAGGCATGGGGTTGACGGTGCAGGAGACAAGGAAGCCAGAGAAGTGAATCAGCAGCCCCTGCCCGCTCCATCAGCAGCACGTAGTGGAGTGTGATGGAGTGTAGTGTGAGCTCACTTGGACATGCTTCGGCATGGGGTCGGATGCCAGTGCATTGAGGAAGCCGTGGAAGTGGATCAGCCCCACCCTCTTCATCAGTGGCACAAGGCGCAGGAAGAGCTGCAGGGGGACCTCCCTTGGGAACTGCTTTTCCGTTACCTGTGTAGGGGGGAGAGAATGGGGGAGAGAATGGGGGAGAGAATGGGGGAGAGAATGGGGGAGAGAATGGGGGAGAGAATGGGGGAGAGAATGGGGGAGAGAATGGGGGAGAGAATGGGGGAGAGAATGGGGGAGAGAATGGGGGAGAGAATGGGGGAGAGAATGGGGGAGAGAATGGGGGAGAGAATGGGGGAGAGAATGGGGGAGAGAATGGGGGAGAGAATGGGGGAAAGAATGGGGGATGGACGAGGCATTGGGGCATGGGAAGTTGAAAGGAGGCATGGTCGTTTTCCTGGCATAACCGAGCTGCAGAACGACCTGTGCTTCTCGTTTGACAGCCATGTGTGGCCAGGTCAGGGGCGAGAGATTGAGCGGCATACTGCGATACACGCTCATGTGTATGAAGGCAGACCCTTTGAAGGCAGGCCCTTTGAAGGCAGGCCCTTTGAAGGCAGGCCCTTTGAAGGCAGGCCCTTTGAAGGCAGGCCCTTTGAAGGAAGGCAGGCCCTTTGAAGGCAGGCCCTTTGAAGGCAGGCCCTTTGAAGGCAGGCCCTTTGAAGGCAGGCCCTTTGAAGGCAGGCCCTTTGAAGGAAGGCAGGCCCTTTGAAGGCAGGCCCTTTGAAGGCAGGCCCTTTGAAGGCAGGCCCTTTGAAGGCAGGCCCTTTGAAGGCAGGCGCTTTGAAGACTGGCCCTTTGAAAGACTGGCCCTTTGAAGACTAGCCTTTTGAAGGCAGGCGCTTTGAAGACTGGCCCTTTGAAGACTGGCCCTTTGAAGACTGGCCCGTTGAAGACTGGCCCTTGGAAGACTGGCCCTTTGAAGACTGGCCCTTTGAAGACTGGCCCTTTGAAGACTGGCCCTTTGAAGACTGGCCCTTTGAAGACTGGCCCTTAGAAGACTGGCCCGTTGAAGACTGGCCCTTTGAAGACTGGCCCTTTGAAGACTGGCCCTTTGAAGACTGGCCCTTTGAGCACTCATGCCCTGAAGTCAAGATGACACAGAGCACTCTGCAAGGCAACCGATCTTTCTGCTAACAGAAACTCCACGCTGCAGCTCTTCCTCCAATGAGTGAAGATCCTTGGGATCTCACTTACGTACCATCGACTTCCCTTTGAAGACAGGTCATGCCCTCCAGTTAGGATGACACAGAGCACTCTGCACCATGGAACCAGTCAGTCAGGCCCTCGGCTTCCAGGTGATGGTTTTGCAGGCAGGGTGCTTCTGAGAAATCTCAAAATCAGGCAAAATCAGGTTGCAAAATCAGGCTCTCTGCTTCCAGGTCATGGCAAACAGTTTGGATTCAACCCATACCCGTGCACCCCCCCCCAGTCCTCCCCCCCCCATGAACCCCACCCACCACCTCTCACCCCCCTTCCAGAATGTCACATGCCGCCCTCTTTCCACACGCACCACAGTCACAACGTGTCACTGACTTGAGGTGCTAGCGAGGCGATGAAATGACCTCCCCAAACTGGCTGAATGGAACCCCCCCCCCTCCCCCCCCCCCCACCCCCACCCCCCCCTCTTCTTAGATGAATAGCGCCCCCCCCCTCATGAGGCTAAGAAGGCCAGGAGGACTCACGTTGTTTTTGAGGCGCCTCAAAAATATACTCCTCACCCAGGAGGACTCACGTTGACTCCCATGATGTGCACGTCCGCGCCAGGGAGTGGCAGAGAGACAGTGCTGTTTGCCAGCGGTGCTGTGTATAGTGATGGTCAGGACTCACGTTGACTCCCATGATGTTGATATCAAGGGACTGGAGGGCTCGTGGAAGCTTCTTGGCCACTCTGACTTGAGGTGCTAGCGAGGCGATGAAATGATCTGCGTCAAACACCTCCCCAAACTGGCTGAATGGCACCCCCCCCCTCACACACCCCCTCACACACCCCGTCACACACCCCCCCCTCACACACACCCACACACACGCCTTACCCTCACACCTCACACCCTCCCCTCAGCATGACAGCATCCATGTCCGTTCTCATGCCCAGCGCACACCGGCCACGCCTACCCTCCCCCCCCCCAAGCACACAGGCACCAGCTACCCCCTCCCCCCCCAAGCACACACACCCCATCATCCACAGCAACGAAGCAACAGACAGACAAGCAGACATGATCTCTTTAACAAAGGGTGAGATTACGATGCAAGAATGCACTCTGTGTAAGGAATCATGTGCACGCAGCATGCACATGGGGACCATCACCTGCTGCGAGATGAGGGGAGGGTGGGGGGAGGGGAGGGGAGGGGAAGGGGAGGGGAGGGGAAGGGGGGGGAGAGGGGAAGCGGGGCGTGGGGGTGGGGGGATGTATGTGAGGCGGGGAATGATGAGAGGGCGGCGGGGGGGGGGGGGGGAGGAGAACGAGATGGGATGAAAATGAGGGAGATGACTGCAATGCGCGCACAGTATGACTGAGTTCAGTTTTCTGAGATCTCGGCTATTACACGGGCAACTTGTGTATTTCACTGTCAATGTTTTTGCTAAAAGTTTCGATTACACTGCTGCTCCCTTCTATCATGGCTAACAAAGCTTGGAGATGACTGCAATGCGCGCGCGCACAGTATGAACAACTGGCAGCGAACTCATAATACTGCAGAGGATGACTAAAACGAGGATGGATAAAACGAGCGCAAAGTGTGCTCACCTAGCCGAGGAGAAGGAGAGGAAGTGAGGGAGGAGGAGGGTGGCGTTGAGGTAGAACGCCACCGCTGCTGCATTGCATATCTGGGAGACCGGGGAGTACGTGGGGAGAAGGAAAGAGAAACAGGGGGGGCGAGAGAAAGGGGGGGGGCGAGAGAAACAGGGGGGGCGAGAGAAACAGGGGGGGCGAGAGAAAGGGGGGGGGCGAGAGAAACAGGGGGGCGAGAGAAACAGGGGGGGCGAGAGAAACAGGGGGGGCGAGAGAAAGGGGGGGGCGAGAGAAACAGGGGGGGCGAGAGAAACAGGGGGGGCGAGAGAAACAGGGGGGGCGAGAGAAACAGGGGGGGCGAGAGAAACAGGGGGGGCGAGAGAAACAGGGGGGGCGAGAGAAACAGGGGGGGCGAGAGAAACAGGAGGGGCGAGAGAAACAGGAGGGGCGAGAGAAACAGGAGGGGCGAGAGAAACAGGAGGGGCGACGAGAGATTGAACAGGAGGAGGTTGAGGTAGCGAGTGAGGGGGGATGAGGGCTTAGTGCGCCGATGCTACTGCACTGTGTGTTTGGGAGACATGGGTGGAGGGGAGGAGCGGATAACAGGTACATGTGTGCACATGCACGTGCACATCTCCTCACCCTCCCCCCCACCCTCCCTTCCCCCCTTTCCTCCCCCCCTTCCTCCCCACCTTCCTCCTCCCCATCCGTCCCCTACACACAAACAACTAACCGCGACTCTCAACTGGCTGAGGCCACCCTTTGCCGCCACAGAGAAGAACGGACCCACGCCCTCCCACTCCCCGCTGCTGCTGCCCCTGCTGCTGCTGCCACCGCCCCCACTGCCAGCAGAACCAGCACTAGCAGCGCCCTCCTTTGACGCATTGGCGCTCCCACGGGCAGGAGGATCAAGAGCCCCGCGGGTGCCATGGCGAGAGGAGGAGGAAGAGTCGCCAAGCGCGCATGGCCGCCACTGCAGTGCCTCTGGTGGCTCCTCCCACAAATCGTGCGGCTCCGGCTGCCACTGCTTCTGGATGTGGGAGGGGTAGGGAAGAAGGGGGGTCGGGGGGTCGGGGGGTTGGGGGCTTTGGAGGGGGGCGGAAGGAGACAGGACGGTATGCGAGAGGGGGGGTGGAGAGGACGGGGTGGGGGGGGAGGGGGGGGGGCCGAAATCAGGCATTTCTGGGCAGCCGTCAGCAAAAAATTGAACCATGGCAAGGCAAGCAACCAGCAAGGGACAGCAATGCTTCTTATGCCCTAGCCCTACCAGCATGATTGAGGCAGCGGCAGAGCAAAGCACAAATATTCTGCATGCCATGCCCTCACCAAATTCCTCAGCTAGTTTTGAGGCGCCTCAAAACTGGACTTCCGCATGCCATGCCCTCACCAAATTCCTCAGCTAGTTTTGAGGCGCCTCAAAACTGGACTTCCGCATGCCATGCCCTCACCAAATTCCTCAGCTAGTTTTGAGGCGCCTCAAAACTGGACTTCCGCATGCCATGCCCTCACCAAATTCCTCAGCTAGTTTTGAGGCGCCTCAAAACTGGACTTCCGCATGCCATGCCCTCACCAAATTCCTCAGCTAGTTTTGAGGCGCCTCAAAACTGGACTTCCGCATGCCATGCCCTCACCAAATTCCTCAGCTAGTTTTGAGGCGCCTCAAAACTGGACTTCCGCATGCCATGCCCTCACCAAATTCCTCAGCTAGTTTTGAGGCGCCTCAAAACTGGACTTCCGCATGCCATGCCCTCACCAAATTCCTCAGCTAGTTTTGAGGCGCCTCAAAACTGGACTTCCGCATGCCATGCCCTCACCAAATTCCTCAGCTAGTTTTGAGGCGCCTCAAAACTGGACTTCCGCATGCCATGCCCTCACCAAATTCCTCAGCTAGTTTTGAGGCGCCTCAAAACTGGACTTCCGCATGCCATGCCCTCACCAAATTCCTCAGCTAGTTTTGAGGCGCCTCAAAACTGGACTTCCGCATGCCATGCCCTCACCAAATTCCTCAGCTAGTTTTGAGGCGCCTCAAAACTGGACTTCCGCATGCCATGCCCTCACCAAATTCCTCAGCTAGTTTTGAGGCGCCTCAAAACTGGACTTCCGCATGCCATGCCCTCACCAAATTCCTCAGCTAGTTTTGAGGCGCCTCAAAACTGGACTTCCGCATGCCATGCCCTCACCAAATTCCTCAGCTAGTTTTGAGGCGCCTCAAAACTGGACTTCCGCATGCCATGCCCTCACCAAATTCCTCAGCTAGTTTTGAGGCGCCTCAAAACTGGACTTCCGCATGCCATGCCCTCACCAAATTCCTCAGCTAGTTTTGAGGCGCCTCAAAACTGGACTTCCGCATGCCATGCCCTCACCAAATTCCTCAGCTAGTTTTGAGGCGCCTCAAAACTGGACTTCCGCATGCCATGCCCTCACCAAATTCCTCAGCTAGTTTTGAGGCGCCTCAAAACTGGACTTCCGCATGCCATGCCCTCACCAAATTCCTCAGCTAGTTTTGAGGCGCCTCAAAACTGGACTTCCGCATGCCATGCCCTCACCAAATTCCTCAGCTAGTTTTGAGGCGCCTCAAAACTGGACTTCCGCATGCCATGCCCTCACCAAATTCCTCAGCTAGTTTTGAGGCGCCTCAAAACTGGACTTCCGCATGCCATGCCCTCACCAAATTCCTGAGCTTATTTCTCAGATGTCACTGGCACTGAGAATTCTCCAAAACTCCCATCCCTCACCCCCACCAGCGCCTCACTTCCCACCAGCGCCTCACTTCCCACCAGCGCCTCACCTCCACCAGCGACTGGGCCGCGAGGCCCAGCAGCCTGGCGCGCATGGGAGCCGCCACGTGATTCCCCTGGTCCAGCGCCAGCGACGGGTACAGTAACGGAGAATTCTGTGACAATAACGGGGCCGACGATCCGTGGAATGATGACGACGACGACCATGACGTCGGATGACGCAAGCTCTCCTCTCCGAATCCCCACCTTCCCCTCCGCTCGTACGCGTTCGGATTCTTCTCCTCACGTGCCGCAGCCTGCCTGCTGCTGCGTGCGTCGCCTATTTCCACCACGAATTCCACGTCCCACAGGCTGATGAGAGCCAAGGCCAGCAGCAGCAGCGCCACCAGCGGATGCGGCTTTCGCAGGCAGGAGAACCCCGCGGGAGAGCGGGGAAAGAATCTCGCGGATCTCCGATCGAACGACCCCTGGCGTGAGGGAGAGGACCCGACGGGAAGAGCTGACGTGGACGAGGCGGATGAGACGGGACGGAGTGACGATGACGATGACGGTAGAGAGGCTGGCCCAGTGAACGGCCACGATTGCAGCCAGAACCACAGCGAAGATCGCAGCCGTCGGAAGATTCTGTTGCAACGGAGAACGCGGCGAGGAGGGGCGATGGAGCCTGCAGAGGGAGGCCGTGGAATGGCGGCCGATGATGATCGCGCGGAGGAGGAGGAGCGGGAGTAAACGCTTTGGCGGACATTGCTAGGGAGAAGGCCGAGCAGGACGGACGATAGGGAATCCCGTTCAGAGGTGAGAAGGGAATGTGCCATTTGGAAAAAGAGACGAGCGGAGGATACTAGAGGAATGAAGTGGATGGGACGGCAGGGATGGCACGCGATCCATGCGCTATCCCTGATAAGTGCTGCTAGCGCTACTAGTACGGCACTGGCTTCTGTTCTTGGCTGGTCGCGTGGTCTTTTGTGTTCTCATTAAAAATAAAGAGGGTTACAAGTCATATAGCAATTTCTAAAGCCGAAGATGAGAATTTCGGCATGAGCGTTGCGCTATTATGACATAGTAGCGTTTAGAGGTATAGAAGAGAAAAAGAGAGAGAAGAGAGATAGAGAAGGAAAAAGAGAGGAGACAATGGAAGGAAGAAGGTAGCAGAAAGAGTGGGGAAGAAGAGAGCGAAAAAAGAGGAGAAAAAGAGGAGAGGGGAAGGAGGGAGGGGGGGGTGTGACTATATCAGAGGGACATCATGGGACCTAATAAAGCAACAGCCCACGCGCACAGCGCGGGCACAGCGTCTCAAGCACGGCCTATATATGTTTTTTATACACATGCATCATACATATACTGCATGTCTGCTGCACTCTCGAAGCACCCTGTGATGTGGTGCCAACTCCCCTGCCCAGCGCCCAAAGGTACAGGTGCTGGCATCCATCCATTGTCGGAGCCGCCCAGCTGCCGCACTGCATGCTGCATGATCACATTTGCCTGCGCCCGCTGCAGTGCCACAGAGAGACGCGTATGTTAAAATTATATACGTTATAATTTAATATAGGCTTGGTAGGTTGTTACTGAACCATTCTGTAGAGGGTACAAACCCCTTCTTGTACTCCTCTCTCTTCCTAATCAAACACCTTTCTTCTCAACATTCTCTCCCCTCCTAGATCCGTTTTCCTCACGCCATTCCATGGCGGCCTTCTTCCTAGTATCCTAGCCAACCTAGCCTCCTAAGTTTAAGAACCTTGAGTCCTAAGTTTCTAAGATGGTATCAGAGCCGGTCGTGTCCACCGGACCCTCTCCCTACGTTCCCGTTGCGTACTCCTGCTGCATTCGCAGCCTTCGCGGTTTTCTGCCTGCCTGCCGTCGCGGCATCAAGCTGTCGCGACGGCCCCTTGTTGCCTGCCGTCGCGGCACCAAGCTGTCGCGACGGCCCCTTGTTGCCTGCCGTCGCGACACCAAGATGTCGCGACGGCCCCTTGTTGCCTGCCGTCGCGGCGCCAAGGTGTCGCGACGGCCCCTTGGTGCAGCCGTCGCCCGTCCGCCTCGCCGCTGCGGCATTGACGGTGCGCTGTGGCGGCGTCTAGGGCAGCCGCTGGCATCGTCGGACTGCGGCCGGCCGAGCGACGTCTGTGACGCAGCCGGACCTGCCGCCCGCTCGCCAGCCACGGGCGTCCCTCTGGACGCCGTCCTCCCGCCAGTAAGCGCCGCGCCACTTATGGCGCGTCGCTGAAGACTCGCCTCGCCCGGCCCCCTCCCCTCCCCCCCCCATCTGCACCTGCTTCCCCTGCATCCCCCCCTTTCTTGCTGCAGCCGATGACTGCCTTATGAGGGACCTCTCCACCGCCGAGGAGACAGGACATGACGCCGAGAGGGCGGGGGCCGCCGCACCAGCCTCTGTCGTTCGAGCCACCGGCGCCGCCGCTGTTGCCGCAGGCCTGGAGCCGCCGCACACCGCCGCCGCCGCCGCTGTCGTCACTGTCGCTGCTGCCGCCATTGCCGTCTCAAGGGGCCGTGAGACCTACCCTCTTCCGGAGTCGTTGCGGCTCCTGCTGGAAATGGGGGTGCTGGGCTAGGGGGTGTGGGTGTGGGTGTGGGTGTGGGGGTGTGCGTGGGCTTGACACTACCAAGCCTAGGGGGTGTGTTAAAATTATATACGTTATAATTTAATATAGGCTTGGTAGGTTGTTACTGAACCTTTCTGTAGAGGGTACAAACCCCTTCTTGTACTCCTCTCTCTTCCTAATCAAACACCTTTCTTCTCGACATTCTCTCCCCTCCTAGATCCGTGTTCCTCACGCCATTCCATGGCGGCCTTCTTCCTAGTATCCTAGCCAACCTAGCCTCCTAAGTTTAAGAACCTTGAGTCCTAAGTTTCTAAGAGCGTAGTGAGGCTCTTCTCAAATATCCGTGCCGATCCGTCATCCCCTGCCCCTGAATCTCTCCTCCGTGCTGTCCGCGATGCACACAGCCCTAGGAACTGTCGCAGTGGCTCACTCAGGCACCCAAAGGTCTCCACTACGCAGGCGTAGAACTCTGGATCCGCCTGCGTGATCTTTTGTGTGACAGACAGGTTGGGCTTGGCTTGGACACCGCGATCCCTAGGTGGAATCTTTACTCAAGATGGACAGTCTCGTTGTTGTGTATTGCACTCAATTGCTAACTCCCAGCTGTCGGGAATATGGGTGGGGACATAGTGTGAAACGATTTGAAAAAACAAGTATCAAGTACGCATGTTTGCTTTCTGGGGATAATTACTGAATTTCTAAGGGATATATGGAAATCTATTAGTATATCATATTAGTATCTGGTATGTGCTAAGTGCAGCCTATCATATTAGTATTTGTTACTAGTACAGTGTGAACTCGACAGCCACCAGCCAAACCATGCCAAACCACGCCACACCACACTCGCAGCAAAAGTGCCACTGACCGTGACCACTCACCAATGCAGCCCAATCCAATCTCATCACAGGCAATCAGCGCGAAGAAGCGGCAAAGGCTTCAAAATCCCAACGCCGCTATCACTCCTGCATCTGCTTCCTCCCCCTCCGCCGACTCTTGCGCATTCCTCGCCGTACTGGGAGCACGGCGTTACGGCGAAGTGGCCTCGCTGATCCAACGCGCCGGTCCTTGCGCTGCTTTTGGCGAGGTTTGGTTTGGACCTAATTTCGTTCCGCCTCGCTTGATTGACTCTTGGCCCGAAATCAGGAGTCGCTAGACATACCCGCACATCCATGGTAGCGTAAGCTGTACTAGTAGAGAGTCCGTAGATCAAGCTTCAGGTTATTTGTGGGTCGCACCACCATGGACAGATGCGCGGTCCACAGCTGCTGCGCTAGCGCTGCACGACAAGTACCGTCGCTTTCGCCACGCTCCAGTACCTTCGCCGTCGGCCGGACATCCCCTCGCAATGCCGTCTTGAATCTTCAACGGCCCAACAAAAATCGCATGGCTGCGTCGGGTGACAGACCCATAAACGCGATCGGCGCCGTAATCTCCGCGCCCTTGCCACGTAAGCAGCAGCAACTGCATGTGACGGGAGATTCAAGATTGCGGATCGCATCATCGTCGCCGTTCATCATCAGGCCATGCCACGCTGGCAGCTCCTCCACGTGGACCCGCTCGTGTCCGTCGGGTAGGTCGTGTCCACGTGTCGTGCGCAGCGCAGGGATCGGAGTGAAATCGACGAGGTTTAGGGTACGGTGTAGCGCGTCCGAGTCAGCAAAGCCGTCACATGTGGATAGGGCGAGAGATTCAGGCGAGGGGGGTTTTGAGCAAGAAAACAGAATTTGTAACCAGAATGCGGAAGCTTCGTCGGAAGCATTCCCTCTGTCTGGCGTGTTATTAGCTGCCACGTGTATGGCGATGGTTGGTGTGCAGCTGGCGGCGTCGCTCCCAGCTCACGCCGCTTCTGCGGTGCTGAAAGCTTCGTCAAAGACGGCCGCTGCACCAGCAGCAGCACCAGCAGCAGCAGCGCCGCCACCAGCAGCAGCAGCGCCGCCACCAGCAGCAGCAGCTGCGCCGGAAGCTGTATCCGCCACCGAAGCGGCAGCAGCAACGACAGCTGCTGCAGCAGTGGCAGAAGGAGCGGCAGGCGGGGGAGCAGCAGCGGCGGAAGGCGCAGCCGGCGCAGGCGCAGCAGCGGGCGCAGGCGGAGCAGCGGCGGGGGGAAAGCGCAAGGAGAAGGGGAAGAAGGGCGGGAGGGAGCGCAAGGGGGGGAAGGAGGTGGCGACGATGGAGGTGGAGGAGCGCGAGGCGTGGGCGCGCGGGCTGCCCGTGGTGGCGGAGCGCGTGCCGTACACGCAGCTGGTGGCGCTGAAGCGGGCGAACGAGCTCAAACACATCATCAAACACCCGCAGTCGTCGCTCAAGGTGGGTAAATTAGACATGCTTCCTAGCGAGGTGGCCATGCTTGAGTGGACTCGAAAGAGAGCCAATGAGCTGAAACACATCATCAAACACCCGCAGGCCACGCTCAAGGTGAGTGGGGGTACTTGGCCCACGCCAACACGTCCAGACGGGGGAGGGGGGGTTATCGACGACGTAGGCACGGGATTGATTGAGAGGCGCTGAAGTGAGCCAAAAATGAAACTGCTTTGAGTCGACTCAAAAGCCAACAATGTGAAGCACATCGTAACCCGCAGTCCTCGCTGTCGCCTCTGTCTCCCTGCTTTTCCCCTCCAACCATATCCCTGCACCCCCTTCAAACCCTCAGTCTGAGCCCGAGCGCGTGTTCCTAGTCCTATAGGACGACTGCGTGGTGCGCGCGCTGCATGCTGCCGCCTCTGGACCACGACCCTGCCTTCTGCTGCCTCCTCCTAAGCCATGCAATCTTGCCAACATTCACCCCCCTTCCTTCGTTCCGATCCAGTCTGAAAACTGAAAGAGTGTTTCTAGCCCTTTAAAGACGACCGCCTGGTGCGCTGCATGCTGCCGCCTCTGGAACCAACTCCCTGCTTTTCCCCTCCTACCATAACCCTGACCACCCCCCCCCACCCCCCCTCTTCCCCCTTCAATCAAACCCCCAGTCTGATCCCGAGCGCGTGTTCCTCGTCCTCAAAGACGACCGCGTGGTGCGCTGCATGCTGCCGCCTCTGGACCGCGACCCCCTCTGCTGCTGCCCTGCCCCTCGACCTTACAATGTCCCCTTCTCCACCTCCCCCCTCCCCTCTTCCTTCTTTCCAGCTCCAGTATCTGAGCCTGAAAGAGTGTTACTGGCACTCGAGGACGACCGCGTGGTGCGCTGCATGCTGCCACCGCTCCCTCCCCCCTAATTCTGCATCCCAACCATTCTCCCTCCCCCCTAATTCTGCATCCCAACTATTCTCCCTCCCCCCTAATTCTGCATCCCAACTATTCTCCCTCCCCCCTAATTCTGCATCCCAACTATTCTCCCTCCCCCCTAATTCTGCATCCCAACTATTCTCCCTCCCCCCTAATTCTGCATCCCAACTATTCTCCCTCCCCCCTAATTCTGCATCCCAACTATTCTCCCTCCCCCCTAATTCTGCATCCCAACTATTCTCCCTCCCCCCTAATTCTGCATCCCAACTATTCTCCCTCCCCCCTAATTCTGCATCCCAACTATTCTCCCTCCCCCCTAATTCTGCATCCCAACTATTCTCCCTCCCCCCTAATTCTGCATCCCAACTATTCTCCCTCCCCCCCTTCCCAGTCTGAGCCCGAGCGCGTGTTCTTGGTGCTCAAGGACGACCGAGTCGTGCGCTGCATGCTGCCGCCTCTGGACCGCGACCCCTCCTTCTGGGCGGCATGGAAGGATCTCAGTCTGGATGCACTCACCATCAACGCCTTCTCCCCGCCGCCTGCGCCGCCCGTCATGCAACCCTGGGGGCTCTGGGGCCCTTCCTTGAAGTTTCTGCAGGACTGGGGGTGGGTGGGGGGAGGGGAGGGGCGGAGGGAGGGGGCTGTGGGGAAGGGCAAGGGGGGAGGGGAGGGGGTGGGGGAGAGTAAGGGGAAGGGGAAGATATTGACTGCTAAGCAGAAAGCGGATCTTGCTTTGAAAGAGAGAGTGAGGAAGTTAGCTGAGGAGAGGAGGGAGACGGAGAGGAGGAGGGTGGAGAAGGAGAGAGAGATGAAGAGGCAGAGGGAGGAGAGGATTCGGATGGAGAGGGAGGAGAGGAGGAGGGCGGAGAGGGAGGAGAAGGAGCAGCAGAGGCAGGAGGAGCAGGAGCAGCGGCAGGGGGGAGCGCGGGCGAAGAAGCGGGGAGCGGAGGAGAAAAACGTGGAGGCGAGGAGGAAGAAGCTGGTCGCTCAGGTGGCAAACCAGGAGCGGTGGGGGTCGTTCTACAAACAGGCGGCCAATAACGAGGGAGTGAGGTTCCTGATCGGGGCGGCGTTCTTCGTCTTCTTCTACTTTGGCATCATAGTGAACGTGAAGAAGAAGCGGAAGGATTACGAGGATCGGATCAAGTTGGAGCGGGCGGCGGAGGAGGAGAGGAGGAAGATGGAGGGGTGGGAGGAGGATATGGATGAGATGGAGGCGAGGGAGGAGGAGGAGGAGGAGCGCGAGAGGGAGAAGCAGAAGGGCGGAGGGAAAAAGGCTGGCGTGGTGGTTGCGGGAGGGAAGGACGGAAAGGGGGGGGATGGGAAGGGGGAGGGGGAGAAGGGCGAGGAGGAGGGCAAGGGCGCGGTGGAGGAGGAGAAGAACCAAGCCATCTTGGCTGGCATGCGCTTCATGCGATCCGGGGCGAAAGTGCGACGGGCTCGCAGGGGGAAGGTGCGATTCTGAACATCGGGTGACTTTTGATTCGACTCAAAAGTGAAAGTGAGAACACGGGTGGCAAAGGTAAGGGAAGCAAGTGAGTCAGCTTCTACTGTGGAGAAGGGGAAGAAGCAGGCCATTCTGGCCGGCATGCGGTTCATGCGAACGGGGGCTAACTCCTGGCGTGCATGCAGGGGCAAGGTGGAAGATTCTGAACACGGATGGCAAAGGCAAGGGATGCGGGCGGGTGAGTCAGCTTTTACTGTGGAGAAGGGGAAGGGCGTGGTGCGGTGGGGGAGGCGAAGAATCAGGCCATTCTGGCCAGCGTGTGCTTCATGCGGTCAGGTCAGGGGCTAAAGTGCCACGTGCGAGGAGGTGGAGGGGCAAGGTAAGGGAATCGATTGGATCTAGGTGAACTACTGCAGGCCGTTGTTTTGACTCTTCCAGTGTCTCCTCCTGTTGTCCTCTCTTTTCCCCTGCGCCTCCCTTCCCTCTTCCCCAGCGTACCCGCCATCCCACATACATGGACCGGACCCAATGGAACAGCAGTTAGGTGCCATGTCGTCCCCAGCATACCCGCCACCCCACCCACATGGACTCGGACCTGAGTGCGGAGGTCAAGTCTGCCGACGTGGCAGGACTGGGCGAGATCCAGGGGGAGCTGCAGGAGGTGGTGGAGCCCGTCCATGAGTCGCCTGATTCCCCCTTGTCCCCCTTGTCCCCCCCGTCCCATCCCCAGCGCACCCGCCGCCCCACATATCTTGACCTGAGTGTGGAGGTTAAGTTCTCCCACATGGCAGGGCTGGGGCGAGCTCCAAATGGAGCTGGATGAGGCGGTGGACTTTTTCCAGAGGAGTCATTTTTGAGAATTTTAAAGAATGACTCCACTGGAGCTGGACGAGGTGGTGCACTTTTCCAGAGCGCCGAGAAGTACCGCTGCCACGGCCCCAAGACCCATGTAAAGAGTCTTGCTATGCCTCATCCTCCCCTGGAGGCGCCACTTCAGGCATTCCACTGTCGCCCTGTGCATCCCTGTTCGCTCCCCCCCCTCTCCGTCCCATCCCAGCGCACGCGGCGCCCCACGTATCTGGATCTGAGCGCAGAAGTGAAATTCTATGTTTGAGGCGCCTCAAAAATCGGCCCCCCCTCTCCGTCCCATGATCCCATCCCAGCGCACGCGGCGCCCCACGTATCTGGACCTGAGCGCAGAAGTGAAATTCTCCGATGTAGCCGGGCTGGGCGAGATCCGCCGCGAGCTTGAGGAAGTTGTCGAGTTCTTCCAGAGCGCCGAGAAGTACCGCCGCCGCGGCTCCAAGATCCCCTCGGGCATCCTGCTCTGCGGCGAGCCGGGCAGCGGGAAGACTCTGCTGGCCAAGGCGGTGGCGGGGGAGGCGGGCGTGAGCTTCTTCTCGGTGTCGGCGTCGCAGTTTGTGGAGATCTTCGTGGGCGTGGGGGCCAGTCGAGTAAGGGCGCTGTATAACGAGGCGAGGGAGAACGCGCCGTCGGTGGTATTTATCGACGAGCTGGATGCAGTGGGCAGGCAGAGAGGGCTCACGGAGGGGTCAGGCGGGCAGGAGAGGGACGCTACTCTGAACCAGGTGAGGTTGAACGCCGGGTGCAGGAGCGCATGAACTGGAGGCGTGCATGGTCAGCACGGAGAATGCGCCTTCGGTGGTGTTTATTGATGCCTAGACGCGGTGGGCCGGCAGAGAGGATTGACTGAGGGGTCTGGCGGGCAGGAGAGGGACGCCACGCTGAACCAGGTGAGCTAGAAGGATAGGGATGTGTGTGAGGATGTGAGCGGCATCCCAGTGAGCATAGGGAGGCGGGCCGAGGGCGTGAGTTTCCTCTCGGTGTCGGCGTCGCAGGTGTGGAGATCCTTGTGGGCGTGGGGGCGAGCAGAGTGCGGGCGCTTTATAACGAGGCAAGGGAAAACGCGCTGGACGGAGGTGGATGCACCGTCGACCAGATCATTGACGAGCTGGACGCTGTGGGACGGCAGAGGGGGCTTTTGAGTCGAATCAAAAGAGGGGGCTCACGGAGGGGTCTGGATGGAGGGCAGGAGAGGGACGCAACTCTGAACCAGGTGGCGTTGACTTGTGGGATGCATACCCACGGCTCGCCCCTGTCTCGCGCACACTGGTTCAGAGGGTGGAAAGTGCACCAACCATCAAGTCGCTTTTTTCCCTGAGAGTGGAAACTCTTGTCCTATTTCTCTCGCCCTCTGTAAGATTCCTTCCCCCGCTACCACCACTTACTCTTCTTACCCCTTTTCTAGTCTAACTGAAACTTCTCCTCTCACTACTCCCACTCACTCTCTTCTTTCCAACTGTTTTCCACCGCTTGCAGCTGCTGACGTGTCTGGATGGCTTCGAGGGCAGGGGTGACGTCATCACCATTGCAGCCACCAACCGGCCGGACATTTTGGACGCTGCCCTGGTGCGGCCGGGCAGGTTCGACCGAAAGATCTACATCCCCAAGCCGAGCCTCAAGGGGCGCGCCCAGATCCTCGAGGTGAGGCGGTGGGTTGCTGCAGACAGGGCTCTGTTGTTTCCACCTGAATGCTCTGATGTTTTCCACCTGAGTGGTTTTCTTGCTTGTGTGTGTGTGTGTGTGTGTGTGTGGTGGTGTCTGCTGGTGCTTGGGGTTGGAGTATTGCTGGCGGCAGACTGTCGCATCAGGGGGTGTGTGAGAGCAGATTGCAAGTCGAGTTGCTTCTTTTTTAGCAGTAGCTGCAGATATGCTCATAGTTAGTCACACTCTTTATTGTTACACCATCTGATTCTCAAATCTCCCTGTTCAATATCCTTTCCCCCTCTCCCCCCTTCTACTCTCCCTCCCGGCTCCCCTCCTGCTCTCTCAGGTGCACAGCCGCAACAAGGTGCTGGACGATGACGTGGACTTTGAGGCCGTGGCGCAGGTGACAGATGGCATGTCGGGCGCTGAGCTGGCAAACGTTGTTGACGTGGCGGCGCTCAGAGTGCTGCGAGAGAACCGATCCGAGGTGCGTTGTGATGTTCAATGCTGCTGCTGCTGCTGCTGCTGCTGCTGCGTGTTCATACATACTGATATACCGATGGGGATGGCTAAGCGTGCTGACGCAACTGATCTGTGCGTGCGTGCTTGTTGATACTGACGCGGGGTCTTGGTCAGAAACACCAGACGATAAGCAGTTGAGTTGTGAAAGGGAACGGCCTTGTATGACCCAACCAACCCATCAACTAGAACGAGTGCTTACCTTCCAAGCCATAGCACCCGTGACTCAGACTGTCTCTGCCCTTCTCCACCGCCGGCTTCCCCCCCTCCCTCCCCCCCCCCCCTCGGCCAATGCACAGCCGAAAACACCCCCTGTTAGAATATAACATTCTCTTTATCCTACATAGTTTCTTATACTTGGGTATATATAACCAAGTTGGGCTATCGAGGGGTGTAGATGAATGTTGGGGTTGGATATTCAACCAACCTCTGACCCCAACTATCGAGGTGTTCAATCTTGTTGGTCTCCCACCAACGTTATTGGCTCCTCAATTGTTGGTGGTCCAACCTTCCCAGCCATCATTGGTCCAACCAATAATGGTTGGGTTGGTCAAGCCCCTCTTGACCTAGGATTGGCTCCCTAGGTATATAACCCTGTACCACCTCCCTCTGTAGTGAATTCTTCTCTTTACATTTTCTAACACCGCCCTCTCCTCCCCATTTGTCTCCCCCTTTAATCATCCCGACCAACAGGGACGCCACACTCTCAGGCAGTCTTGCTGGGAGAGGGCGGGGCGGGTACCCGCAGCCAGTTCCCCAATTCGCCCTTTCCCTCTCCCCCCCTTTTGCTTACGTCAGATCACCACGGACGATCTGCTCTGCTGCCAGCCGCCATGCTGGAGGAGGGCGGGTACCCCGAAACACCCCCTCGCCCCATGCATGGTGCAACCCCTAACACGCCCTCCCCCTCCTCCCCATTTATCCCCCCCCCCCCCCCCTCCCCCCCTTATACTATCAGACGGGCGATTAGCTGGAAGCTGCTATGCTGGAAGAGGGCGGGTACCCCTTCCCTCATTCACTTCATTAGCCCCACTCCCCCTCGGTTTCCCTCTTACCCCAACCAACCCCCATCCATTCTTTCCTCCCCCCCCCCCACCCCCCCCCCCCGTCAGATCACCACGGACGACATGCTCCAAGCAGCCATGCTGGAGGAGGGCGGGTACCCATCGCCCCACGAGGGCAGTCCAATCAGGCAGCGCCAGCTGGCACTCAACGAGGCGGCGCTGGCCGTGGTGGCATTCAACTTCCGCGACTTCCAGAACATTCAGCAGGTTGGCTGGGGGGTGGTGAATGTTCAGCAGGTGGGCTGGGGGGTGGTGAATGTTCAGCAGGTCGGTGAAATTTAATGAACATTCAGGGAACACTTATCAGGTGGAGGGATGTTCAGAAAAAAATTGAGTGGAATTTTCGCAGGTGATGTTTCGGTGAAGGTTCAGCTGGTGGGTGGTGGTTGTTATTGCCCCCCCTTTTCCTGCTGTGTATGGAGATAGCAATCGAGCCTCGCATGACGGAAGCAAAGGGTTCAGTGAGGTACAAGTTGGTGGAGACATAGGATGAAAGCATATCTTTTACCCGCTCTCTCCCTCCCTCTGCTCTCTGTCTCCAACACAGACAACAGCCGTTCATGCCTCGCCTACGGGGTTCGCTTTGTTGTACTAACCAACAGACTTGATGGAAATAAGGCCTCTGCAGCCCACCTGTATTCCATCCAAGACTCCTACACACAGATAACAGCCGCGCCTTGCCTTGTATGGCAAAGGAGAAGGGTTCAGTGCGGTACAAGCTGGTGGACACACAGAAGATGAAGACCAACCTACTCCCCTTATCTCTCCCTCCTGCTCTGTGTGACATATGCAGATCACAGTGGTGCCTTGCATGACGGAGGAGAAGAGTTCAGTGCGGTACAAGCTGGTGGACGCACAGAAGATGAAGGCCAACTCACCACCTGCTCTCTCCCTCGCTCTGCCCTGTGTCTCATATGCAGATCACAGTGGTGCCTCGCATGACAGAAGAGAAGGGTTCAGTGCGGTACAAGCTGGTGGACACACAGAAGATGAAGGCCAACTTCATCTCCGCCTCGTGCCTGCGAGACTTCATCACCGTGCAGCTGGCGCCTATGGTGGCTGATGAGATGTGGAACGGCGCTGAGGAGGTGAGTGATGCATGACGTGCATGGTAGTATATGATACGGACACCTGGAGTGTGTTCATGAGGGAAGCCATCCATGCCGGCATGACCCCATGGGTTGAGGAGGTGAGTCCAACGTGCTGCTGATATTTGCATGCACACATGAAAATCTAGAGCATGCAAATCTAGAGCATGCAACTCTAGAGCATGCCAAACGTGTGTTCTTGACTTGGTCAAAATTCACCACTGCCCCCACACCCCCTCTACGTCTACTGTAAAGTCGACTAAAAAATGACCCAATTCCCTCCCTCCCGCTCCAAATCGCCCAACCCTGATTCCCATCTGCCAGACATGCACCATCTGGGCGGACCACGCTGACGTGGCGCGCCGCACGGCGCGCCAGGTGGCGCTCAACGGTTTGTCGCTGGCGAGTGAGGAGGGCGCGCTGTACGGGTTTGGCGTGGCGGCCGTGGATGCAGCGTGGAGGCGGGAGGCAGTTGATGCGGACGCGAGCAGGATACTGGAGGAATGCCGGAATAGGGCTGTGGAGGCGAGTGCTTTGCTTACTTTCTCTCCCTCTCAATCTCCATCTGTTTCCCTCACTCACTCACTCTCACACACATTCCCACACTTAGCACACCTTAAAGCCAGGGACCCAAGTTTCTAGAACCTGGGGCAAGTGTTTTACAGTTGGTTGGGAAAAACCAGGTTTTGTGTCGTGAGGGTGCGTGAATTGCAACACTCGCAGGCGATTTCACTGGTGCCTACAGCTCGCCGGTCAATCAGTAGTTCTAGTCCCAACCAACTGTTTTACAGTTGGTAAACTTGGGTCCCTGGCTTTAAAGGCCCAAGTGAGTGAGGAGGGGTTGAATGAGGAGAGCGCGCTGTACGTGTTTGGCGTGGTGGCCGTGGTTGCGGGGTGGAGGCGGCAGGCCGCAGATTCTGATGCCAGTCGCATACTGGAGGAGTGCTGCCTTGCCTTGGCCCCATTGTCAGCTTCCCTGCCCCCTTCCCCCCCTCATGAGATCTTGCTCCGCATTTGTAGTCTCGTGGGTGTGGACACACTGTTGGACAAGCACCTCCTGGAGGTGCTTCTTGTCCTTGCTTCATTCCTCTCCCCCATTTCCCTGCCCCCTCTCTCCTGCCACCTGCCTCTACTCCCTGCCAATCAGATTTTGCGCAGGAGCCGCTCCCTGGTGGATGCACTAGTGGACAAGCTGCTGGAGGTGAAGTCGATGGGCGGCGAGGAGTTCGCCAGCCTGGCACAGCAGTACGGGTCGTTCGAACCCTTTGCCCCACACAACACCCCCACCCCCTCCCCTCCTCCCCCACACCCCCCTCATCCCATGCCTCCCTCTCTTCCTCCCTCCCCATAACTTTTCAGATCCTGCACAGGGCGTCTATTTTTGCGCAGGGAGGCGCCTCAAAAATAGACTCCTTGCGCAGGAACCGCTCCCTGGTGGACGCCCTGGTGGACAAGCTGCTGGAGGTGAAGTGGACGCCCTTGCGTCATCCCTCTCCCCCCTTCCTCCCTCCCTCTCCTGTCTTCTCCCTCTAACCCCCCTTCATCAGATCCTGTGCAGGAATCGTTCCCTGGTGGACGCACTAGTGGACAAACTCCTGGAGGTGAAGTCGATGGGCGGCAAGGAGTTTGCCAGCCTTGCGCGGCAGTACGGGTCGTTTGACACGCCGCCGCCCTCCCCTGTGGAGATCAGGGACCGCCAGCTGGCGCGATTCCGGGAGGCGATGATGGCGGGGGAGAGGGAGCGGGCGGAGCAGGTGCTGCTGGCCGATCCTGTTGCTGTGGAGTGATGTGGAGGGGGCGCGAGAGGAACGGACAGGATGGAGGGGCGCGAGAGGAACGGACAGGATGGAGGGGCGCAAGAGGAACGGACAGGATGGAGGGGCAAACTGCCAGGTGGGCACGGTTCGGTTCCGAGAGGCCATGATGGTGGGCGAGTTGGAGCGGATGGCGCAGGTGCTGCTGGCTGACCCCGAGGAGTGAGTGTGGTGGTGCGGGAGGGTGAGAGGAATGGGGGCCATGGGTGGAGTGGCAGGCACGCAGCCAGCTGGCACTGTGCGGCTCCGGGAGGCCATGATGGCTGGGGAGGAACAGCGAGGGATCTGATCTGGCGGCGCGGGTGTTGTTGGCCGGCCCTGCCGCTGTGAAAGGGAGGTGGTTGCGATTGTGGTGAGGGTTTTTTTCTCCTCGCGATTCGACTTGCCATTAGACAGAGCGCCGTGTGGAGTGGAGCAAGTGAGGGGGCAGGTCCCATCCGAACCTACCAGATGCTGTCGCTGTGGTGTGACCTGGTTATACGGCAACTCCAGTGCTGTTGGCGGCACGGTTTCTTTGTTCGTCTGGAATGCTAGATGGCGTGAATGTCATGTCGTCTGGAGCAGAGAGGACTGAAGGCGGGAGTCTGAAGGTGGGAGTCTCAATTTGTCGTCTCTTTTCTTGTTCCTTTTGATTGGGTCTGGCAGTAGGAGGCGCATGGTTTCCGAGGCTTGTGCATTGAGAGCTGGGTAAAGGTGCAAGGCGTGGTGGAAAGGATACGTGTTTACGAAATCAAGGGTTGGGTTGGGTCGAGGCACACCTGCTCTGCTGGTGCATTTGCTCTGCTCTTTTAAGCCCGAGGCCTGCTGCTGGTGTGGTATGCAATCAAATCATGCAAGGTAGCAGGGGCTGTTGGTGTGAGCCTATTTTTGAGGCTCCTCGAAAATAGGCTCTCGGAAGTGCTGCTGCCAGTGGCTTGCTGCTGGTATGGTATAGCTTTATATCAGAACCATGTAGGGCAGCTAGCAGGGGCTGTTGGTGTACGAGTGCTACAAGGAAGACATCTTCGTGCAATCATTTCATAGCAGCAAATTTGAGCCCACATCTGAACACACACACACACACACACACACACACACACACGACCTACCTAAGGAGTCTCAGGCAGAGGGGGAACGCCATCTGATCCACCACCCCATCATCCATTCCTCTCACCGCCTTCCCCCACTCCCCTTTCTTCCACACTCCATCAATCCAAAAGGCAACCCTAGCCCTGCACTGGCAGATCCTCTGCCGACCTCCGCCTAGTCACACTCGGCCTAGTCGCACTTCTCCACATTCTTGCACTTGTCCCACTTGTCCGTGCACCTCCTGCAGCCCGACACTCAAAAGAAGGCCTAATTATCACACTTGTCACGGCACCTCTTCACATTCTTCTTGCACTTGTCGTACTTGTCCGTGCACCTCCTGTGGCCGCGCTTGTCGTCCTTGTTGTCTCTCTTGCACTCGCTGTACGTCTCGTTGCACTCCTTGTTCTCCTTCTCGCAATACGACCTGCAAGACTGCCCGTGATGGTGCGAATCGCCGTGATGGTGCGAATCGCCGTGAGGGTGCGACCACAGGAACCTCCTGCTCCCCCCAAACAGATCGCTCAGGAGACCTGGAAACGGGAAAGCAAAGAACGGATGGAGTCACAGCATAAGCTTAGAAAGATGAAAAAGCATTGGACAAGCTTGCTGGTTGGTGTGCGGTGCGGGGCGGCAGCACAATGACAATGCAACCTGCAAGGGATTGGTCATCGAGCTCAACACACCAGGCGGCGAGGGGTCGTCAGTGTTGAAGCCACCGCTTTCCGCAACAACGAGCTCATTTGCACAGCACGGCGGCGCGAGCGTGAGGGAAACAACCAGGGAGAGCGCGAGCAGGACGAGGAAAAGCGGCTTAAAACGCCCCATTGCTGCGGTCGCTGGAGAAATAAGGGAGCCCTCAGACAGGTAAGAGGAAGCGAGAAGCTTGCGAGGAGGAAGCTTTTGCTAGAGCTTTACTTGGGCTGGAGTGGAGCTTGTGCCAAATGGCGTGGATTCGATGACTTTATACAAGCACTACGCAGCAGAGCCCCTGAGATTTTCAAGAACGTAGTATGTCGGTGAGAAGATGAGTGTGGCAAGTGTGGCGCTGGTCGGTGACAACGGAAGTCTGCTGACGTGTCGGTCAATGTGTTGAGGTAGACTTCTAGACACGAGGGCGCTGCGAGTGGGGAAGTGAGAGAATCAAGATTGCCAGGTAAGAGAACCCAGGACAGGAGGACCCAGGAAGACTCGAGGGGGAAGACTCCCTCCTCGAAGTTGGGAGCGAGATGGGGAGGGAAGGGTGGGAGGGAGGGAGCTCTGCGTGGTTTGGATTGACAATCTTGAAGCGGAACCGCGAGCCGCGAACCGCTCTACGCGACGCGGGCTCGATGCGACGCGAGTCCAGCCGCTCCAAGAATCTTGGTGAGCGCGACAAAGGTTTCTTGGTAAAGTGCAGGTCCGTACGTTGGGAGCGGAAACTCGATACAAGCATAAAACTGTGAGTGGGCAATTGCTGTAACGGTGGGATGGAGAACTCCGGCAATGCCACGAACGCTGTAACGGCGTTAGATTGGTCAGGGACCCTGACTCAGGGAAGACTGATCCATCCACACCAGAAGGCAAGTTTTTCAGGCCCGTGGTTTCAGGGCAGCCAGTAATTCCACGCCTCCGATTTTCGTTCGTAGAATATCGCGCCTCGCCGCCGCCCTGCCGCCGCCGCCTTCACAGGGCCTCCGGCCAGGCATGCATCCCGCGTCTGCCGTCATGTGCCCGATGATGTCACGCAGCATTGCTCCCTATCGGAGGAATAGCCATGCCAATCTGCCACTCTCGCATTAAGCAACTCCGTGCCTACTCTGCAGGACACGTCACAACGGTGGGGAGTGATGTGGCATGGAAATACTGGCAGGTGTGGGGGAGATTGCCAGCTGCCTGCCTGCTTCTTCCAACAGCATAAAACTGTACAGTATTAGCAGATTCCACGTGCCTATGATTTGTATAACGGATCAATTTTACAACACTGAGAGAGGGATGCATGTACAAGGATGTCTATGATCCAATCACCTCCCAAAACCACCAACTCTATACTATGAGATGCACACCATCACCACAACTTCTTGGAAACACTTAACATGGCATCACTACCAATAGCATTATCACTTTTCTTCTAAATACCTAAGACCTCCACTATCTCAAACACAATTGGATGGGAACATTCATATGAAGTCACAATATATTGCTATAATACAGGTCAGGCTGATTTGACCTAGTCTGTACTATACATGTATTCCTAGATGCACCATGGATCCTCATCTTCCCTTGGTGGTTAGTGCTGCTATCAATCATATCTTCCCTTACAACATGCCCTCCACAGCATACACCATTCAGTGCTTTCAGGAGCTCCGACTGTGCCCCCTGCCACTGCACCAGCCTGGCCTCACGCGCCTCTCATGCGCCAAACCCTCTCTCTTCTCCGCCTGCTGCTTCACCCCCTCCCTGCCACACACACCACTTGCCAATGCTCTGCCACCGCCCCTCCCACCTGCTGTCTTCACAGCAGCCTGCCTTCCCCCTGCTGCCCTCCCTGCTGCTCTCTCCCCACACCCACCCCCCTCTCTCCTCTCCACCCCACTCGCATGGCTGCTCCAGGCCTTGCCAGCCTTGCCTCGCATGCTAGCAGACGGTGCAGTCGGTGCAGATGGTGCAGCACCCTTCACTGATGATGCACCAACATGTGACTTCGTTACTCCTGCTGCAGCACATGGTGCTTCAGACTCTGCTACAGTTGCTGCTGCTGCAGAAGCGGAGGCCCCATTTGTGCGAGTCAGCTTTGCTTAATATCAGCATACTTGGCTACAATCCAGTCTGGCATTGCCGCTTTGGATTTCTCAATGTCCATGGCCCGTACCTCCTTGCTCAGCTTGTCGAACCTGGCTTGCCACTCTTCATGTGAACGCAACACTCTTCCACTCGCCTCGCCACACATGATAAGCCCGTTGCTGCTCAACTCGTTCTTGCCTGACCTGCTTTCAGACTGCACCTAGCAAACCGTATCCGCAGCTGGGCTCACCGATGGCGCAACCGAATCCTTCGCTGGGCTCACTGATGGTGCTGCTGAATCTGCTGCAGTCGCTGCTGTTGCAGATGCAACTGGGACATTTTTCCGAGTCAGCTTCGCAACATCCTTACCATACTTGGCCACTATCCAGTCAGGCATGGCTGCCTTGGTCTTCTCAATGTCCATGGCCCAGATCTCCTCACACAGCTTCTTCCAGCTCGCCTCCCTCTCTTCTCGTGAGCGGATAACACATCCACTCGCCCCGCCAAAAATACTCAGACCGTTGCAGCTGCACTCGTTCTCAACAGGGTTCACTGATGGTGCAGCAACATCCGCTACAAGTGAACCCGTTGCAGCTGCAGGAGTCACGCTCAAATTCGTCGCTTCTGGTGTAGTCAGCGGCACAGGAACCACAGGCGATACCACAGACATGGCCACAGGTGTAACCACAGCCGACGGTGTGACTGGAGCAGCAGCAGCAACAGCCTTCCCTCCAAACCGGCCAATTCCTGGTCTCTTCACATCAGATGAATCACTTGTCTGAACCTTCTTCATCTTCTGGAGGCGATCAGCTTCGGAGTGGCCGTGGGAGGAAGACACCTGCATCTGCTTCGCCAGATTCTCCAGCAGGGGCCTCGCGCTCTTCAGACGCACGCTGCTGCAGCAACAGTCAGCATCGCTGGAGTTGGTCGCCGTCTTGGTGTCGCACGCAGCAGGTGGGCGTTGAAAATTAGGCACCTTTGCAATGGCAGATTTGATAGGAGAGCATGCTGCAGGAGAGAAAGGCGATCGAGGCGTGCCGAAACTGCCAATGCCTCGGGTAGGCGTTGCAGACGCAGTGTTGACGGTCTTCGCGATTCCGCCGTTAACGATGCAGCAGCCCGCATCAGAGGCCATGTCAGCTAATGAAAGTTTGTCGACTGAAGCTTGCTGACTGCAGATCGGTTGACAGTAGCTTGCTATCTGCAGATCCGGAGGCAAGTTTGCGTGTTCTAAAAAGCGGTCTTTCCTTATAGACAGTTTGGAGCAAAGCTGTGAGTGCTGTGCTCTTAGCAGAGCAAGAGAAGGGGTACTAGGACATGCAGATCCGGAGATCCCAAGAACAAGAACCACAGCAGGAGGAGGAGGCGGGAATGACAAGCTCGAACCCTCGCGAGCCCATTTCTACTCCACTCCGCCCTCGGCCGCTCAAACCCTCGCCTCGAGGCTCCACTGCCTCCCGATTGGGGTTTCAACAATCGCCTGCCTTGCTGTCCGCTGCGTTGCACGCCACGTCACATGGAATCAGAGGGGTTCGAAATGACAGAGTAGGTTCGCCGAAGGCAGTCTCGAGGCGCCTCCACTGGGGTTTCAGTTTCGTGCGATCTCGAGGCGCCTGGGCTACGTTCCCGCCAACATTTCGAATTAACCCACCGGCCAGCGTAGGCGAAACATTTCGCCAGGCCATCGCACAGCCGCAAATGATGGATCTAGCGAACGAAAGTTCGATCGAGCTTCAGTTTCGTGCTTGCTCGAGATGCCTTACCCATTGGCGCCACTTTTTCGTCGCCAGCTACATGCTGCTGCGAATCTGGAGCCAGCGACTGTTACCAGTGATCTGTTACTACTGACTAGCTCAGCGAAATGTTTTCGCGAATCACCTACTGGACGAATCTGACAGACAGTTTCGCGCGCTGAAGGATGATCGTTACAGGCTCCAGCTGGATGCTGGTGAAGGGGGCTTTGGGATTGCCGAGCAAGAGGAGGGAGAGAAGCTGAATCTGTCCGATATGTTGGTGCTCCAGAATATTCGTCATGGCGGTCTGTTAGCACCTATATCTTATGAATGTAAAGCACCAATTTCAAAGGAACTTTTTTACACCTAACCCGCAATATTTTTTCTCCCCCCATTTTCACCAGGGGAGCCATTTCAAGGGTGTTCACCTTCAAAAATCATGACCTAAGAGGCGGGTTTCAGCGTCCCTTGCAAAGCGATCATACATGGTTTCTAGACGAACGATATCTACGGCGCAGTATTACCCCACTTTGGTCCTCTCTCTTTTCGAAGTCCACGACCCTCGTCAAAGAATTGGAGGCAGAGAGGCAAAGGTCCCAAGCCCGTAGATACACGGGAATGATATATGCAGACTCAAAACCGGCCAGGTTGATAACAAAATTTCCCCAACCCTAGTCCACCACGGTGAAAATGTTACAGGTTAGGTGTATAGTTAAATTGACAGCTCAGCAATATGAACCGCATATCAGAAAGAGAATGATTGAACTAGAATGTGTGTGTACAAGGATATATAGACTAGGGTGTTGTACCCTCTAAGGCACAATCCAGTATAGTCTACAGTAACGACCTAAGTTACATTTGACACACCCCCTAGACTTTATAGGGGCAGTGCCTAACAAGGAAAGAAGCAGCTCAGGGCGGCACTACTAGTCCAGCCTCTGAGACAAGGGTCCAAAGACTAATCAAAAGGAGTACAGACAAGGAAAGACCAAGCCCAAGGCAGCACTACTAGTCCAGCCACTGAGAGAGGCCACAAGGCCAGTCTGGGTAAAATATATATATAAAGGACAGTACAAAGTCAAGGCCCTAGCAAGTGAGAGGCTACAGGAACGAGACCCAGTTGTACACAGTGCCGCTGATGATCTTTACACGCAAGCGCCTTCGTAAAGATATCAGCTGTGTTGGCAAGTGTACTACGCGCGCCAGGCGACGCTGCTGGAGCTCACGCAGGAGGAAGTACCGCAGCTGAATGTGCTTCACTCTGCCCTCGAGTCGAGGCTCCTAACACAGGAGGATCATGGCCCTGCAGCGTACAGGACCGGGGCAGAGCTAGGCCGCTCACCTAAGTCAGTGAGCAAGAAGGTCAGCCAGCGGAGCTCCTGTGCCACCATGGCACCGGCGTAGATCTTGGCCTCATAGCTAGACTGGGAAACAGACGAGGAGCGGGTAGCTCTCCACGAGATGGCACCTGAACCAAGGCTGAACCAATAGCCGTATGAGGACCTGAGGGTCTCGGCGTCGTCTGCCCAAGAAGCGTCTGTGTGTCCAGTAAGGACCACTGGCCTACGTCCTCCTAGCACTAACCCCATGCCCGATGTACTTGCAAGATAACACAAAACCCTCTTAGTGGCAGACCAGTGCTGAGGTCGGTGTCTGCCTGTAGCCACAAAGCGAGCCAGGATGCTGAGAGGATATGCGAGATCTGGGCGCGTGCAAGTCATCAGGTACATGAGGCAACCCACCAGCTCTGCGTAAGGACCACTGGGCTCTGCTGACTCCTCAGGAATTGGAGCGGTGAGCCTGTGGTCTAGAGGCAGAGGAGTAGGCTGTGCGGAGGAGAACTGAAGGCCGAACCTCTGAAGGACCTGGCGCACCAAGTGTGAATGAGTCAAATTGATGGTGCGGGCTGCTCTGTCCCTGGAGATCTGCAAGCCAAGGTAGTGGCGCAGTTCTCCAAGGTCAGTGCAGGTGTGTCTCTTCAGCAGCTCTGCCTTCACGGACGCCAGTGCGTCCCTGTCTGCCGTGGTGAAGACTAGGTCGTCTACGTAAACAAGGATGTAGAACGGAGTCTGGCCAGCACGAACGAAGAGCGAGGGGTCTGCAGAGGACGGAAAGAACTGCAGGTCAGCAAGCGTAGCACGCAGCGTGTCGTACCACTAACGGGGAGCCTGCC